GCCGAGGAACCAAGCGACCATGTAGCCAAAGACGATGGCCTCATTGGTCTCGTGATCGGCATCTGGGGACGGGATGCCGGAGTTGTTCCACAGATCGCCCTTCCACTCATCGAGCCATCGGTATCCCGTGCCGGTGTTGATGAGAAGTACTCGCGGAGCACCTTCGATCAGCCAGCGACCGTAGACGATTTCAATTCCGCGCGCCTCCATGGACTTGATGGTCTCGCGCATGGCGGGACTGGAGGGAGTGAGCTCCTCGACCTCGACCGCGGCCGAGTTCTTATTCAGAGGGCCAATCAAGGTATAGCGCTCGCCATATTCGGCGGTTGTGACGGGGGCCTTGGACTTGAGGACGGAATAAATGCCTCCGACACGGTTGGCGACCTCTGTGGCGATTTCAAAGAGCATGTGGTTGCGCACATCGCGCTTGATGGGTTCGCCGCCGTTCTCGTCCGCCATGATAGATTGGATCAATGGATCAATCAGATCTTAGGCCCGTGCGAGTGCAAGCACAAAAAGTTTCAAGAGGGGACAATTAAAGAGATGAAGAGTTGAGGAAGACAGAAAGAGAAGAGAGAGGAGAAAAGAAGAGAAGAGGGAGGGGGAGGGGGGGAGGGAGGAGGGGAGGAGGAGGAGGAGGAGGAGGAGGGAGCTTGGGGACCGGTCTGTGCGGGGGGAGTTGGGAGATTGGGAGAGTCTGAGAGAGTCTGGGAGAGTCTGGGTGATGCTTCTGCTTCCCCAGCCTCCACCTTACTACCAGTAGCAGTACCAGTAGTACTGCTAGTACCTCAACGCTTTAGTAAAATTTCAATTCACCTGGCCCGTGTAGAGTTAAAAAAAAGGGCGAAAAAGGACAAAAATCCGGGAAATGGGGCAAATTTACGAAGCTAGCGTGGCTCAGGGGGAAGAAAACGGTCTAGCGTCGCATTCAGACCGGGCGGACCTGGCAGCGGCTGCCCGGAAACACGGTAGGACGACACACTTACGGAGTATACTCTGACACTCTCGTGGAGTATGAGTATACTCAGCTATATCAGCTATATCAGATCCATACTTGCACCTGGACTCGTGGAGTACGAGTATACCGTATACTCTGATACTGATCCTCTGATCCTTCTGTCACTCTGCTACTCTGACACTCTGATACCTGCTACACCCATGCACTGCAAGAGATCAAAGCTCCTCCTCGGCCCGACCTCGTCGATCAGTTTGCCTTTGCCTCTCCATCTCTCCTATCAATCCTCTGATACATCAATGGTACATCTCTGGGACATCCTCGTGCAGACGCCATGGTGTGCCACTATACGCGGGCAACAAACTCCGTCTGGGGAAAGCTGGCTTCAATGACATCATACATCGGGGTTCAAGGTTCTCCACTGCGGGCGCGAATTCCCACTCGCCGCCAGCTGCACCTCTCAATGAGCTTTCGTTGTCTCTGACTGGTGCCCCCGATACTTGCCCCCAGGCGCCCCCGAATCACGGCCGATCTCCGGTTGGTCACCTGGACCTCTCGGTCGCACAGACAATGCAGAACAGCTGGAACCCCTGCCACTAGTGACCCAACTACAGCAGCTCATCCGGATTATCTATCCCCAATGACCACTAGCAAACACCCCCCCTCCGACGACCTTGAGGCTGCCTTTGATCTGATTATCCGATCAAAAGAACCATTTAATCCGAGACCACCTATCTCGGTCTCTCTCGTCTCTCCTCCCTTTCGAACAATGTCATCTACAGTCTACTCGGCATCTCCCGTCTCCCGCTTGTCCCTGAAGACCATTGTTTGTAAAACATGAGCGAAATGAGACTCTTTATCGTCTGCTCCTCTTCTTGTCTATAAATACCCGTCAAACCTCCCCTCCTCCGTCTATCTGACCATCCTTCCTGAGCACGTCGCTATGCCTGGAAATGCGGAGTCTAAAACCCTGGGCCCGCCCTGGCTTCACGCACCCTGGCTATCACCACCCGGACTACACTCCTCTTGAGGTTCTTAGGAGGCTCGGTCGTCGTGTCAGTCGCTGTTTCTGCCGATCCTCTTGCTCGGAAAGCGAAAGCAACCCAAAGTCCACCAGGTCATTTCAACCGTATCTGACAGAGGTGGAAGAATGGGAACGTTACAACCCCGGTTTCGTGGTTCATTCGGTTAGGCGTAGGGTAGGGGTAAAGTATGAGGATATTGCATATGCTGATAATGACAGGCTTGGAACTCCTCAACCCGTAATCTCAGACCCTTCACATTGGGAAGAAATTCAGAGCTGGTCGGAGAGTTCTGTCGCAGTGAGTCTCGTTTCCATGCCAATCATCCTATCGGAGCCTCCAGAAATTCCAGGGCTATTCTTCGAGGGGTTCACGCTACGCAGTCTCCTTAGAGAAATGCCGTCCGAGGTTAGCGATAACTGGCTACCCTTCTTTCATAGCCAATCGAATAGGACATCGCAGGTAATTGAAGGTATCGGGAGCCAGCGATCGTCGATCATAAATCTAGGAGGTCTACTCCATGGTATTTCCATTCCGGGTTCGCCTGGGTTACAAAGCAATGAGGTATTGTCCGCGACAGAGAGTCCACCCCGTGACCTTGTTAGATTACGCTTGTCTAGAGAGATAGATGAGCTTTTTGTACGAGCAATTCCCCCTCCGCGTAATTCTGCAGTAACCCTTGACTTTGACTTTGACTCAGATCTCGGAGAACGAGAGCCTCCTCCAGATCTTGATTGGTTCCTCAGGTGTCTCAACGGAGGAGGCCGTTATCCTCACCCCGGCTAAACTGGTCAGACAGTTCTCCTTGCCCCTTTTTGCATTGGATAAATTCACAGTACGCAGATTGCACTAATTAATTATTGAGTTCTTCTACTTTTGCCTTTTACGGCCCGTTTTCATGCCGAGAGTAATCCGTCCATAGTTCGATTAGCAATTCCCTATAGACTCTCTAGGACTGTAAGTCGGGTAGAACGACAACTTTTCGCACGCTGTAGTTAATCTTCAAATGATCTTTTATTTCTATTCTCCCTCTTGTAGTAGGATATAGGTTTCCCTACTCGTTCCATTGTTAAATAGTGTTCTTATCGGGATAGTGAAATTTCAGACCCGGTTCCAAGGGTTCTTTCTCCAATAGATACTGCAAACTCAGTCACACGCTAGCCCTTCAAAATAGCAGCACTGCGAATAGTAACAATTTAATCAAATTTTAAACTCTCGTATCACTCAAGACTTTCTGTTAATTGGTTTATTCATACCAACCTTGCAGCTTGGTTGGTTGGTTGTTCCGCTGCCGCAGCAGTGATAGCCAACCAAGCTTGGCAGCGCTGTGACACCATCCAATTTGAAACCAACACATCATTCTCCCGAAATAACCATATCTTCTAGAACATACTTCTGATTGAATATGTAATCCATCCCTTCCAACCCATTCGAACCCTTCTGCCAAGTTAAAAAAAGTTGATACCTCCGATCAACCAACAATCGGTGCGCATTCGTCGATGAAGTCATTGTGGAGACATGACTTCATGATGCTGTCACGTTTCGCGATCTCGACGGCCAAGTATTAATATGCTGCGAAGAAGACATCTGAAATAATTCTCTTCACTATCTTCTACTCCTCTCAAATCTCAACAAAGGTTCGCAATTGCAATTCCTCCAGTCATTAGGAATCCACCAGTTCTAACATCCGCCCAGTATCTATTTTCCACATCTACATCACATCTATACTATCTATACCTTCACAATGGTTCGCGGCGCAGACTACGACAACGGCATCCCTCAGAGCGACAACGCTATTGATAACGGCCCCAACAAGGCTCACGGTGTCGGTGCTACCGTATGTTACAACTTTATACATCATACTTCATGAAACCAATTCCTAATAAACTCACAGGATGCCCCCGTCAACCGCGCCTCCAAGGTTGCCCCCATGCCCGCCGAAACCGGCTCTGATCGCGATGTCTTCCCCGGTCTGAGCCACGCCGGCCCTACCAACTCTGGCAGTGGAAAGGGCGGCCACGAGCCCAAGTCTGTCGGCGAGAACAAGGGCACCGGTGCCCAGGGTGTTTAAAATGGCTGGGATTTCAACATAATTATTTCAACTATATTGTTCGTTCAGAAATTACACCCCTTCTGATAGGGTGTGCTTTGCAAGAGCAAAGCGGTTCGAGCTACGCATCATGAAATTGCGGAGTTAGTGGATATTATTATAGCTTTTACGAATATCAAAGTATTGTACAATATTGAGCTGAACGGTCCCCATACATAACTTTTAAGTAATCCTGACTCGCGCCTACTCGTACTAGGCAACTTGGCTTATCACCTCAAGGTAGGTCTGCAAAGGCCATCGGACGTCACCTGAGCTTAAACGGTGGAAGTATACCCCACTTCCACAGTTAAGGTTCTAGTTTATATAAGGTATAAATATTTCACCTAAAAGCAGCCTGGCTATTTTCTGATCAATCCATAATTCTATATGTATTCCAACTTGAACTTTCGAGAGTTACAATTCATTAGTAGCCATGGGTGTGCCTCCTTGTACTCTACGCCATGGTGACCCCAATATTTCCCCCCAAATATCAGCCCGCACCAAATGAAATTTTGCTCTCATCACTCTACTCTTAAAATATCAGTTATCCAGCTTGAAGCTATTCCGAGGTCATGCCAGTAGTTTAGTACTAGTTTTGCTTTTGTGGTGAGAGGTGGAAGGCACGACCACAAACACGTGCCTGGTCTCAAGAGTCAACACATTCACCTCTCACCTCTCACCAGAACTAATCCGAATACCACCGTCACGATGGCCGATCAGGAAGCACAGGGAAACCAAACTATACCTAGTTCCCAGCCTGATCAGCCTCCGATTCCAGATCACGTTCCTATAATTCAGGAACGGATGCATAGCTATTATGAGCATACCCACCCCGTCCCAAATATCCGTCTTCGAAGACCTTTTATGACGGCCCAGGCTCTTTGAAGTCAGCATCGTCGGCATCGTCGGCATCCTTATCCTCAAAGACCACAACCTACACAGCAGCGTCCTCCCCAGCAGCATCCTCCCCAGCAGCATCCTCCCCAGCAGCATCCTCCCCAGCAGCAACCAGTTCAAAGACAACCCCTTTATTATCATCGAATTGCCCTGATGCAGAATCTCCGGCAGCAACTTGCTCAGCAGCCACTGTTTCAAAGGCATTCAGTTCAAGGGGAATCGGTCCAAGGGGAAGCCCTTCATCCTCAAATTTCTCCGCTGGAAGCTCCTCCGCTCGAAATCCCCCAGCAACAAACACCTCAAGTGCAATACCCTCAGCGACATGTCTCTCGGCCTGGTTTTCACGAGTGGCCCTACATATCATGGGACAGCCCTGTACTCTATGTCGCTAAAGACCCCGGATCTCAAGAAAATAATCCTCAGGATGAGCATCAGCGCGGGCAATCACAACAAAATCAGCATCCCCAGCCCCGGTCCCAGCAAGATGCCTTAGACACGAACATGTGGGGGTATCATTTTTGGACAGGCAGGAACTGGATCTACCTTCGGAGTTGGTTCCGAACGGGCATGACGGGTGAAGAGCACGGAAGGAAAATTCAAATAAATGGACGGATTTACATTCATGAATCCCAATACCCTCCTACCGAAGCCCCGCTGGTACCTATACTGCCGCCCCCGCCGCTGTAGACTTGTATCCTACGAGCTTTGTTCATCATTTTATATTATTATATCACTCCCTGACCCTCTTTTTGTACAGCGGCATACTATTTGCCTTAAGGGTTGTCCTCGCCATTCTCTCTCTCCAATTTGTTTGTTGCCATTGGCCCCGACTTGCGGGAAGTACCCTGACCCTATTCAGTGATTCAAAAATCAAACCAGCTGATACCAAGCTTTATCCAATGTTCCTTTACATCTAGATCTCATTCTTCGATTCCTAGCATGGGATAGCACGCCTCCGATAATGAGCCGACTGCTCTGAGAGGCATAGTGAGTCTTTTTTTATAACAAATAAAATAAAAATAAATGCAAGTCTTTCCAAGTCAGTCAAAGGCTGATCATCCCTGGCCGGGGCCTCAAAACCTTGGAAAGTCGTGGACATAAAGGTTACTTTCCTAGATGATGAAACACTCTCCCTGAGCGGCAGTGATTCGAAGTGGGTTCAATTAGGAAAAAGGGAAATGAGCAAGATCAGCAAATTCGAAGCAACTACCTCTTAATCAATATAGTTCACATACTATCAAAATCGCGGGTCTGTTTTTCTACTACTTTTACTCTATGATCGCCAACTTGCGCATCTACTGACAAAGGCCGTTATATGAAAGAACCCCCTGTTAGCAGGAGTGCCGATGGGACCCTCTGCGGGCCAAAAGAGATTTAGGCTGATATTTCAATATTCGGAGTCCGCTTTCCTCTAAAGATATTACAATTTATCTGTCGAGTACTACAGGTTTACAAACATGACGACTCAGAACTATAAAAGTGTATTGACTACCGCCTCAAGTGGAAACCTATGCCTGGAATATCAAGGTGCCGTTGTCATTGCCAATCCGTTCTGCAAGGTTCACGTCCGCATCTACCTGCTCGCCATCAACAGTCCCCAGCCGAGCTCGAAGAACTGGGATCTCGTCATCGTCCTCCCCTTCGCGGTGGAGCTCGACTTCCTCGGCGCTGTCGAAGAAGTTCTCGCCACCCCATTCAAATGAACCTGTCGGATCTTGTTAGATGATGATATCATGGGTAATGGGTGAAGCTGAGGGGCAGCAAACCATCATTATTGCCGATATAAGCGTTCAAGTCCAACTCGGCGTCTTGCTCCTCGCCATCCGCATCTCGGAGTACAGCCTTGAGGATATGGCCATCTTCTAGCTCATAGCTAACAGCAGACAGGTGGAAACTCATGATTTCTGAGGTATTTTGTAATGAATTGTTCTTGGAAAGATGATATACCTAGTAAGTCGGGAGGCGTAGGGCTCTTTTATAGACCCCAGGTTTGCGCTCTGGCCATGGATAACCGATTTCACTGCAGCCCAGGCTCTTGTCCAACACATGTCACCAATTCATTTGTTACCGACTGCCCATGTCGATATGGGCTGGGTGGATGCAGCTGGTACAAGCGGGGCAAGAGGATCCTGGGTGCACAGGAGGACAAGCCCAAGAACGTGCTAAATAATCCCTCACTCTTTGTAAGCAATGGCTAGCTTTCAATTACTGCAGGATGCTCTGGTATTAGTATGCAATACATAATTAACATTTAACAATCAAATCTCAGACATGTAACCTAGTATAACTCCCATGCTACGACCGGTGAGGGTACTATAATCTCCGGAAGTCATTATCGTGGCGCAGGATGGAGCCCCAATCTCAGTCTCCAGCCACAGACGCATACAAGGCGTGATGTTGCACTGTGCATGTATGCCAAGAGTCTCAATGCTGGCGGTTTGCTCGGAAGACATAGAAATGCTGGTGCCTGGAAGAATCCAGCAAGTTTTCCATTTACACAGGTGGTCATCTGCGGGCCCCTCATGCAGCCCTGTCTATCTGGCGTCTTGGCATTCTTCCTTTTGTGGCGCAATCACCACAAAGATCAGTATTTACGGAGTAAGCGTTGGTCTATGTCCCACTTTGATGGGTATCTGCTCAGCTTGGGAATACACAAAAGTATGACATAACCTTCGATAGGGCTTTCACGCCCCCATAGATGGGGAGAAGTAAAATTCACATTGTTGCAGCGAGCACTCATATTAGCGGCTTCTTGTATTCTTCGGTTTTTAACGACTAGCTAAGACCTTCCTCAATACGTCTCGGCTCCAATCGAAACTTATGCGTGCTAATTCGAATATAAAATAGCGAGGTAAGCCATTAGAAGGCCCAAATATCATATCTCGCAAAGCTGGACACCCGCAAAGTTCAAGAGTTGTTTTCTGCGTGACTTCGATCTTTGAGTCCACTTTTAAGTCTCCATGGTGCAGTATGTAAGTAGCCTGCAAGAAATCAATACGATCTCGTTATTGTATCTAGCTGCCTCCGACCTTCAATCGGATATAGTCTGCTGCAGTGCGCTGGTTGTGAGATTTTCGCATCGGAGCTTTCTGTTTCTGCTTTTCCGTCTTTGTTTCCGGCTCTGTCTCCGGCTTCGTTTATGACTCCCTTTTGATTACTCTTCTAGTTTGACCGAATGATGTGTCTCTTCAACTGGTTCGCGAATGAAGTCCTCGTCAGAGCCATCAGGGCCACAGAATGGGAGCTCGCGAAGGAGAGTCTGGCTCAGGAGAGTAGAGAGACCATGTTGCATATCACTGATGTATCTTGCACAAGAAAGAGGGAGTTCATCCTCCGCTTTTCGCTTTTTTACTGACTCTCTCTGAAAAAAAGTGTCGTCATTTCTGAAAAACAAGATCTCATTATGGATAATGGCGGTAAGGAAATCAGGTTCAACACCGAAGAGATATTCCAATCGAGCAAGAGAGTAAATTCGCAGAGGCTTGGGATTTTCTGTTGCTTTTATACCCCGGAAGGGAGTCTCTTCGACACAGGAGATTTTCTCGTGGAAGAGAAAGTTGCTGAATACTTTCTGTGCCATGTTGGAAGGATATTTGCCAAAGTACGTGTTAAAGATTGCAGGTGGGCGAGGTAGAAAAGTCATTATGGTTGAGTAGGATCTCTGCTATGCTTGGATTATTTCGAAATATCCAGATTTTTCTACTAAGGTCGAGATATTTCCAGAATATGTTTGGATCCATGGTCCCTTTCGAGTTCATCCTTGTGTCTCGTTTCGGACGGTTGTACTTGTTTAGGCCGCGGTGCAGCAAGTCTGGGACGGCATCACTCTTCGAACCGTAGTCCTGACGAAGACGGACCTACTACCTAACCTATTTAGAACTTGCTTCTAACGACTTCGAGAATTAACTCGAATAGATGGCGTAGCTGTTGAAATGACATAGCTGTTGATCTAGGATCAGCTGATCTGTGACAGTGGATTCCCAACGACCTGCCCCTCGCACTATCGAAGTGTCGGGTTAAAGTAATACATTAATCACCACTGGCAATCGCTACGAAAAAGTAAAAATTAGAGAGAATATTCCCATTTCACTCAGAGGATTGAGGATCATATTGCACAGCTCCACTCCCCCTTACATAAGATGCAAGGAAGCAGAGGGGACAAAAAAAGAAAAAAGTGCACCTAAATGACAATAGCACCGATGAAGCTATCTATCAAGAAAAGAAAAGAGGAAAATCGGGGCCAGGTCCGACCGAACTGTCGTCAGAACCTCCCATGAAACATACACGGTAAGCTGTCGTAGCTCCCAGAGACAAAAAAACATAAACAGCATAAAGTAGTCCAAGAAACAAGATTATTACTCCAGATCAAAACTCCAGGTCTCGGTTCACCAGGGAAGAAAATAAACAAGTCGTTAAGGGAAGAAAGAACGGACACCAAGGATGCAAGGCAGTATCAGGAAAGAACGCAAGGGGGTTATACAAACAGTCAAAACGCCGGATGTGGTGGGTCTATACAGCGAACGTAAACAAGGCGTGGGAGGTAGAAGTGGTAAGAAGTCTAGTCACAGACAAGATCTCGATGAAGGCGAAGATATTTAAAAGCCCCATCGGTTGCGAAGTCCATCGGCCCATCGCTGGTGGAGTACATCGGAGAGCTGTTTTGTGTGCTCCATTCCGGGCACTTGTTGGCCAGGAAGATTGGACAAGGGTGATTGGGGAGGAGGCTCCGTTGTCGATTGACGGCGACGGTGACTTTTAAGATGGGGGTTGTTTTGTGCGAGAACGAGGCGGGGGCGGCCAGGAGAGTCCGGCTGTGGCGATGATGGGACCAAGTTGGAGAGACGATGATCTGCTGAGAATTTCTCGTTCATGATCCGGACGATGTGGTAAAGACCCTCAGGGTCGACCATTTCCAGGTCGCTCCAGGCCTCGGCCAAGCGGGAAATAGCATCGCGCTTCTCGCCATCGCCTGTTGTTGAAAGAACTTCCTGACAGGAGTGACCAATCGCTTTAGCATAAGCCCGTCGCCCTAGCTGGGCTTCTTTGCTCGGGCTATCGCTAGAGACCACTTTCGGGCTGGAGTTCTCGTCAAAGACGCTTGAGCCCTTTTGGGGTGGAACTTCAGTAGAAGACACACGGTCCGATACACGGCGGAAGTGGCGCACAGTCGAAGGACTGTTGCCAAAGCTCAAATCCAATCCCAATGGTTGTTTTACACCACTGGAACGTCGCTTGGTATTGGCTCGTCGAATAGAAGGAGATCTTTCGTAACCGGGTGTGCGTCGGACGGTCGAGTTCGCTTGATGCTTCGGTGGCTGCGGTGGCTGAGGCGACGGGGATATGTGCATGTCCTCCATCAGCTGAGCTGGGTCGGGGTCGCTCTCTTCTTCGTCGAGAGTGGTCCAGTCGGTGCCGGCGGGCACCCACATGCTGGGGTTCTTGCTTGGGGTTCGCATCGTTGGGGCCTTGACAGTGTCGAAAACCCAATCATCCTCATCTTCCATAGCGCCCCTGTTGAGGGTGGTGAGAGTCTCGGCGTAGTACTTGACATCTTTGGTAAGGCCTCGGCCACCATCCCACTCCTGCTTGCGTTGAATCAATTCCTGAAGAGCTTCCGTCTTGCCAGCATTACGAATGAACTTGTGTTTCAGCAGCTCTTTCGCGCTAGGTCGGCGCTCCGGATCCTTTGTCAGGCACTGTGCGATGAAATCCTTGAAAGTGCTGCTATATTCCGGTCCCTCAAGTCGTGGTGCAGGGTTCTTCGGGATGAGGAAAAGTACTTTCATCGGGTGCGTGCTGGCATGCGGGGGTTCGCCATTGATCATCTCAATGGCAGTGATGCCCAGCGACCATATATCCGCCTTGAAGTCATAACCAGCCTGCTGGATAACTTCCGGCGCCATCCAGAATGGTGTGCCGACGAATGTATTGCGTTGAGATTTGATGTTGACTAGCTGTGCCGCGACACCGAAATCGGCTAGCTTCACTTTTCCGGTGTTCGAGAGGAGGACATTGGCGGCCTTGACATCACGGTGTATCTTGCCCTCGGTGTGTAGATAGTCGAGACCTTGTAGCAGTTGTTGACAGACGATCGATACATGCGCTTCGTTGAAAACCCCTGGTTTCAACTATTGGGTGTTGTTAGCTAGGGAGACCCGCGGCCATCCGGCAGGGATCAAGGATATTCGACGTACCAGGTCAAGACACGATCCTCCGCCCAAATATTCCATAACGATCCATAGCTTGTGACCTTTTAAGAAACTGGCCTTGTATTGTGTAACAAATGCGCTGGCGCAGGTAGCCAGAACGGAAATCTCTTGCTGGATCTCCGCGATATCGTCTTCGCTGGACTCGAGGTCGATCTGGATGGAAAATCGGGGTCAATTGGGTTTGCGCAAAGCCATCTGAGACGGAAAGATGCATACATGTTTGATTGCGACGATTTCTCCGTTGGCTTTATCAATCGCTTTGTAGACAACGCCAAAGCTACCACCTGGTAAACAATGAAAACATCGGGTCAGCCCATCCCACCACATGCAGGGTTTGGCAGTCGAGGATTTTGGCACTCACTTCCCAGCTCCTCCATCATCTGGTAACGACTCGCCATATCGTCCGCCATGGTTGCGCAACGATCGGACTCGCGACTCCGGTCGGACAGGGCTACAACGGAGTTTTGACGGGCTCACCCAAGGGGAAGGGAGAGGAATCCGATGAGCTGATTGACAGGTGAAGGCCGAAGAAGAACACTCTGGAATCCGAGATTTGCAGTTGTCAGAAAAGAAGAGGAATCCAGGCAGATTAAAGGGGTGGAGCATAGAATGGCCAATGCCCCCAAACAAGCTGGGAGCTTCTCGTCTCGCATGGCAACCGATTGACGCCCGATTGGTCAGGCACCAAAGTGGGGTACACTAGTCTTGATGTGGAATAGCCCGGTTGGGCAGCGCAAGGGCTAAGTAATGCTGGGGTAGAGATATATCTATAATTATATTCAATTTTCTTGGGAATGATTACTGCCGATACTATGGCCACGAAACAATAAAGAGGCGGAATCATGGTTGTTGATTTTATACACTACATTATACCCTTGGTTGACCCAGAGCATACCTATATAAACACCATCTAGATGTACTTGTAAGGGTTCATGATGCCGTTCTAGAATCAAGTTAGCTTTCAAAGCTACATTCACAGTATAGAGAGAGAACGTTGGGGAAGGGGATTGGGGGGGGGGGGGGCAGTTTGCACTTACCGGGTCATATAAGCTCTTCAACTGCTTCATCAGCTTCACCATGGTATCATTCTGGCTGTAGCCAATGAATTCCCGCTTGGCAATGCCCAGACCGTGCTCAGCACTGATACTGCCCTGGCGCTTCTGAATCCACTCATATACCCAAGGCTCAATAGCCTTCTCAACCTCCTTCTCGTATCGACGCACGGCAACGTTCAAGTGCAGGTTAGAATCTCCCATGTGTCCGTAGCCAACAACAGCACGGACAGGGAAGGAGTCATCATCACCAACAAAGCCCTTTTCCGTCAAGCGTTGCCTGCAGTCATCGACCAGCTGGTACAGCTCGGATAAGGGGATGGAGACATCGTACTTGTAAGTACCGCCCAGGTGGCTCAGGGACTCTGTAATCCCCTCGCGCCAGCCCCAGAGAGCCTTAAATTGGGTCTCGTCTTGGGCCAGTACACCATCGGCGACTATACCCTCACCCATGACGTTCTCAAGGAAGGCCTCGAGCTTCTCCATGTCGTGCTCGGCGTTGGATCCGCTAGTCTCGATCAAGCAGTAGAAGGGGTATTCGCCTTCAATGGGCTGCTTGTTACCAGTGACACCCTGGACGAGACGTTGGCTGCGGCCATCCATAAGCTCAAAAGCGGAAAGAATCTCAGAGAGCTGGCCCTTGGCCTGAAGGTAAGCCTGTTGCACCTGCTCGAAGCTTTCCAGACCAAAGTAGGCGACGTTGACAGCCTTGGGACGCGGGGGGGCATTGGATTGAGACAGCGGTGATGAGACCGATGGTGCCCTCGGAGCCAATGAACAGCTGCTTCAGATCGTATCCGGTGTTGTTCTTGCGCAGGGTGGAGAGGGCATCGACGATTGTCCCGTCCGGCAGGACAGCCTCGAGGCCCAGCACGCTACCGTGCAGACTGCCGTAGCGCAGCAGACGGAGACCACCAGCATTGGTTGACACGTTGCCTCCAATGTGGCAGGATCCCTTGGCTCCCAGGTCCAAGGGGAAGAGGTGATCGCGTTCGGCGAGGTATTGATCCGCCACCTCCAGAATGACACCAGCATCAGCAACAAGGACACCGGAGGCCTGGTCGAATGAGCGGATGTTGTTCATGCGCGAGGTGTTGAGCACGATCTCATCGAAGACGGGGATGGAACCACCGACGAGACCAGTGTTTCCACCTTGGGGCACAACCGCGAGCTTCTTCTCATTACAGTATTTCAAGACCTTGCTGACCTCCTCGGTGCTCTGGGGCTTTAGGACCAGTCGGGTGTGGCCACGGTATTTGCGCATCCAATCGCTGTTGAAAGGTTCGATATCATCGGAGGCATCGGTCGACACGCCGTCGATGACGGCGGACTGGGAGCCGAGAAGCTCCTTGAAGTATGTGACGTGGTCGGGGGTGAGCTCGGCAAAGTTGGGGTTGCGCTTGACGTTGGGATAGGCATCGCTCGTGAACTTGATCTCCTTGTCGGCTCGTAGGGTGGAGCTGACGGTGAAGCTGCGCGCCGCGGTGGTCGGCAGTGATGTTTGGGGGCATGTCGGACGAAGAGCAATGCGAGGGCGAGGCACTCGAGCCCGTCGGAGGGCCGCAGAGAGGTTTCGAGCACCAGACATGGTGAGAAAGTGAGTGGAGAGGGTTGACAAGGAACTTGAAAGACAAGACAAGGACAGAGAAGAAAGATAAATTTTGGGGTGGAGGTCAATTGAAGAGTGGAGAACCCGCTCCGATCGGTCATTGCGCCATTCAATTAAATTGAACTGGAAGTTCGGATATGTTTCCACTCGGCGTTTTTCGGGCTTCCTACCTAGTCCACTCAATTCAAGATGTATTAAATCAGCTTTTATTGTTTATTGAATACTAATTTAATTGAGTGATTCTCCTCGAATACCTCCAACCTGGCAAAGACCCTGAGTGCCAGCGGTGTCGGGACACAATGGGATCGGACAAACCTTTAGCCGTTGAAATGAGCCTGAATGCCTTCAGTTGATCTACAATACTTTAAGGGTTTAGTACTATTAGTTAGTAGTAGTAACTACTAGTACTCCTGGCATGTCTAAGAGATAATCTATTACCACGGACACGAACAGTAAGTTGGTTATAACGTGGGGTGTGTACTACAGTACTAGTAGTAGTCCACTCGATATATACTTGCCCAGTGCACAGTATTACAGACTAAGTGCGCACCGTTGGAATCAATTGAAACTTCAAGTTGAACTTCAATGCGGAGAGGCACTGATTGAGTCAACCCCAGGTCTAGACTATATAGATACTAGTAGCAGTATACCTACTACGGTATACTACTAGTACTAGTACCTGAACAGCCAGTGCCAGTCAGTGCCACCCAACTTTAAATGAGGTTAATTGACCCGCGTCCACTTGGGCCTGCCTGCATGAGACATGAAAGATTCACGTCAACTGTACTTTGGTACTCTGGTACTCTGCAGCCATTGATCTCATAGCAGCGATCTTGGCCGTAAAGATCCATCAGAAGCAGTCAGAAGGATTTAGGGGCGTGCGATAACCCTAATAACTGGAGAGTCAGTTACGTCATGTTGGTGCCCCGCAAGCCACGACCTGTTGGGAGTTTTGGAGCTTTGGAGCTTTGAGTGACCTCAATTTCACACTTCTCTCCTCTTCCCCCCCTCCTCTCCTTTCGATTGAACAAACTGAACCATGACTTCCAACGTTCTGGTCACCGGTGCCAGTGGTCTACTTGGCCGTCAGGTCTTTAGCACTTTTCAACATTCCGGCGTGCTGGTGGTCGGCCAGGGTTTCACCCGTGCAGCCCCGCCAACCATCCTCAAGGCCGATTTGGAGAAGGAAGCAGACATCAAGAACATCCTCACCGAAGTCAAGTTCGTTCATTCTCTGCCGAACGAAGCTGTACCCCTGTACCCCCTCACTGACCTTTGATATCTTCTCCCTCAGACCCCAAATTGTCATTCATTGTAAGCTCTCACTCCCCAGGAGATCGTGATTGTGATCGTGAGTCGTACCACTGGAGCTGACGCGGGGTGTATATTTCAGGTGCCGCCAATAAATCTCCAGATCTTGTCGACAAGAACCCCGATCAAGCACGCCGGGTCAATGTCGAGGCTACCCGTATCCTTGCCCGCGAATGCCAGGCTCGCGGAGCCTTACTGATTTACATTTCCACCGACTACGTATTCCCCGGAGCGGAAGGCGAGGCTCCTTATGAGGCCGATTCCGAGACTCGGCCCCCAAACCTATACGGCGAGTTGAAGCGGGATGGAGAGCAGGCCGTCCTTGAGGCGACCAAGGACTCCGGCCTTGGAATCGTCCTCCGTGTCCCAGTGCTGTATGGCACCGCTCGGGAAAATTCCGAGAGCGCAGTCAACACCCTGGTGGATGCCGTGATTAAAGCGCAGGATGCGAATGCGGGTGTCAAGATGGACGATTGGGCCCAGCGATACCCCACTAACACGGAGGACGTGGCGCGTGTAACGCGGGATATTGTCATAAAGTACTTGAAGGACAAGCCGCGGATCAAGGAGCTCCCTCATATCCTGCAGTTCTCCTCAGAGGATCGTATGACCAAATACGAGATCTGTGAGAAGATCGCCGAGGTGATGGGAGTTCCGCTTCCGGGGATGATTCGCAACCAACAAGGCAATGATCCTAATGCAGGTGTGCAGCGACCGTACGACACGCATCTATCGACCAAGGCACTGGTTGACCTGGGGATCGACGTGCGGACCACCGATTTCACAGCGTGGTGGTAAGTGGACCCACCTTGACCTTGAATATTGTTCATGATTTTTGCCAACTCACACTCACACTCATCTCTCTTGCAGGCGGAGAGAACTGGCTGCTCATCGGAAGTAGGGGAAATGGGGGAACAGGGATATATCAAGTTGACTGGTAGTGGTTTCATAGAAGAGAGTACTCGTAATCGTACTCTGCACTCTGACTCTGACTCTGACTCTGACTCTGTACTCTGTACTCTGTACTCTGTACTCTGTACTCAGCTAGAAAAATAAATTAAACAAGTATCTTTGTTCCTTAGTTACTCCGTACCTGCAGTGCTGATCTGCGATCGATCACGGTGGAGCCTGCAAGGCAGGACTAGTCGACAGTAGCGAAACAATAGTGTCTGCCCAGTGAAACAAAGTAAAATCAAGGCAAACACGAGAAGAAAAGACTAGTCTCGTAAACAAGGTTGGCCGTGGCGATTGAGTGCACAGTGCAGAGTGTGAGGGCAGAGGTCAGAGGGCATCCTCGTACAGCCGGAAACGTCTTCCCAGCCACTTTTGACCAGCTAATTTCCCCTTCTCCTTTCCATTCCTCCACCATCATCCACCACTGCACTCACACATCACCCCCACAGCTCTTTTCCTGTTCGTAATTCACTTTCGCTTTGCTTACCCCACGAGGGTCCGCAGATCTATTGCCAATCTGGCCGTTTGACAGGGCCAGGGCCACAGGGCCAGAGCGAAAGACCAGGATTAGAGCCGTCGCATTCGACTCCAGCCTCATACCTTAGCGTCTTTCAACGCCTCCTGTTGCTTTTTTTGGGCAGTCGTCCCACCCGCCTGATTTCTTGGATCGAGCCCTCCTGATATCTGTGCGTTCGACCTGGGGGGGGTTTTTTTTTTGCTTTCTTTCTCTCGCCTCTCCTCTTTCTCTTCTACTCCATACTCCATACTTTATTTCATCTTGACCCACTGACCCTCCCCCCCCCAAGTAAACCTCGCCGCAGAATGCCACTTCGACTGTCGCGCGAGCTATCCACACAAAGGAATTTCTGAAACCTGACCTCGATTTGACCCTGACCTTGCCCACGGGGCTCTCCGAGACCCAAGGCCCTTTCTTTGTCACCATGGCGAGACACCGCGTCAGCGCCCCGGCGCAGCAGCCAGTCCTCAAGGGAACCTTCTATGACCCGGTGCCGATTGAATACGCCGTGGGAAATCAGACTAGTCGCAAACCCGAGCCAGCGGTGCGTCCAGATATGGCAAGCGACGGCAAGACAAACGAGCAGAATCCGTCAATCGCAAGGAGCATGTCTCGGTACCGTCGCAATCGGCGCCCTAACACCAGTGGCGATGCCCCGACGCCAACACCCGCCGTCCCAGATCGCGCTCGCAACCAGCCCGTTCCTCCGGTCCCTGATGTGACCTCCCAAACACTGGCGGCGGAAGTTCATGCAAGGGAACAACATCGACTGGACGCGATGGCGCAGTTGACTGGCGGAGATCAATCGTCACGTTCTGCCATCTCGCAATATGAAAAACAGGAAAAACAACCGCAGTCAAGGACCAAAGCGCAACCTGTGCCAACGCATCAACAGACTAGCCGTGTCGACACCCGCAGTCACCACGACGCACGTCCCGCGAGCGGTGACAACCGCAAGTCCTTGCTACAGAAGATGAAATTGTCCAAGAGCAGCAAGACACCACTCCCAAATGAGCCCGTGCCAAGATACATCGGAGTGGGTGGAAGGGGGATTGTTCCTGGGACTGACGCTCCGGTCTCGGCTGTCAACGCCGGAGAGCGCCAAGTACTTGTGCAGTATAGTGACGTTTCGAACCATCTAGTGGTGACACCATCTACACGGGTCAATGATCTTCTCCAGACCGCCGTTCGCGAGCTTTCTCGCGATATTGACCCTGAGAAATTTATCTGCATTGAATCCTTCCATCAAGTTGGGTTAGAACGATCTTTACGTCGGTATGAGCGTGTACGGGATATCATGAACTCTTGGGCTCATGATGCCGACAACCGCCTCGTGATCGTCCCTCCTTCAAGCATGGAAGCTCTGGCCCAACTCGAGTCCCATCAAGTCCCCACCGAAAAGCCCGCCGAAACGACCGTATACCTCTACCATTCCCAGCGCCCCGGCAAATGGGATAAGCGTTATGTGACATTACGACCCGATGGCCAAGTGGTAATCGCCAAAAAGGAGAACTTAAAAGATTCTACCAGTATCTGCCATCTGTCCGACTTTGACATCTACTGTCCCAGTGCACGTGCGATGGCCAAAGAGATCAAGCCGCCTAAGAAGATCTGCTTCGCGATTAAAAGTCAACAGAAATCTTCCATGTTCCTTTCAACAGACAAGTTTGTGCATTTCTTCAGCAGCAATGACCGCGACACTGCCGACAAGTGGTTTCGAGTTGTCCAGCGCTGGCGAAGTTGGTACTTAGTGAATCAGCTAGGTGCCGCGGAACAGACCGAAAGCGAGGCAACCTTGCCAAAGCGATCCCTTACCCAGAAAGGATCACAAAGGCACCGAAAGGCGGCTAATGATGTGCCGGTACCATTGTTGGATCTCACTGACTCTGAGCCAATAAGGCCCACCGGCAACTCCATCGATTGCCCCCGGCCATCGGCCTCGAAGGACATCGTCTCTCGCAAGAAGACGGTGCGCGAGCATGCATCGCCGCCGCCATCATTCCCCCAGACGCTGTCACTCGATACTGGCACCGCTGGACAAGCAGATGACGGCCCACTCGTGCAGGGCGTGCGACCTGACGAAGTTGAAGCAGCGACTTTCTCTCCCACCGGCTTACTGGGCCGCTCGTATACCCAGCGAAAACAAGCGATGAATGAGCGCGAAGAACGAGAAAAGCGAGCGAACCAAGAGCTGTTTACGGCTCAGTCTTTTCTAGCCGAAAACCATAACTACTCTCCCTCCGATATCATTCATCAACAGAGCGGTCGTACCGCCACAATGACTAGCACGGCACCACCAGGCCTCAGCCGGAATAAGTCTGTCAGCCAGAAACAACAACAAAAACCTTTAGTCGACTTGACCCCAGTTTTCCAAGAGCCACCGCAACACACGCGAAAGGGCCGTGGCGTCAAGGTGGGCGCAGGCACACAACTGATCGACGCCGCCACAGGCCCTGAATTGGCCGTAGGCACCGTGAATATCCCATCCGCAACAGCCTGGCGTCGTCCCACGAATGAGTTACCCACACAAAGTCGATACCGCTCGAACACAGCCCGCAGTGTCCGACACGGCACAGAGCCCAAGCCGTCCAGTTCTGGCTCCGGACACGCCAGCCCAGCCTCACCAAGCAACCCATTCGTATCGAATACATTGCTAGCTAATTCTGCCTCTCGTCAAGCGAGCAGTACCCATACCAAACCCTATACTGGCCACGGTGTGGCAACTGGAGACCGAAACGCCCCCCGTCCAATGCTCGATATGTCACCAGAAAACCCCTTCGCGGAGGGCAGTCTCCTGCGACAGCTTTGAGCGCACCCCAGCTGCCGCGGGTGAAATTTAACGATAACGATACGATGTTAGGATTGATGGGCGTTTATTTTCGGGTTCAACTTTTTGTAAAAGATGAATTGTCATGGCCATGTATCTGAGTGAGATGCTTTTCGAGATATTTGATATATCTAGCGTCGGGCCTGAATGTTTGGTGTGTTTATGTTAGATACCCATAGCGATGGAATAAAGCGCCGAACATCGCTTTCATGAATTAGTTGCAACTGTTTGTCACTAGTAGTGACGTTGGAAACAGACCCCTGCCAGTGGTCTTCTTGCCTACTCTTACAAATTGTACTGGAAGCCACCTAGTAGTAGTATCTTCGGCAATATTACAAACAGAGAGCAGCGAATAATAGAGGGACATTGTAGTACCCTCCATCCGAGTCATCAACCTTGGAAGATTCTACCCAGAGAAATATTCAAGAGGAACTTGAAGAGCCAGTATATTGAGCACTGGATATTTCATTATTGTCCAATTGCACGAAAAACAAGCAAGCTAAGCTAAGCCAAACAGCTAAAAACCCCTTCTAGATACAAATACAGCATAATATCGTACAGGCCGCACCCAAGCTAAACATGTATCCCATTAAGGCCCAAAGCCCAGAGTCCAAAACCAACTTCAATCAAATCATTACAAAGCCCCTAGAGCCATCCAACACATAATCAAATCAAAGAGCCTGATAAACCTGAAACCCAGCAAACTCCCAATAAGCATCCTCAAAAGCAGACGGGTTATTAGCGACCAGCTCCTCACAGGACCCGGGACACTTATACAACTCATGATAAAACTGATTCTGGGCACCGAGTTGGCCGCAAAGATCAATATTGACAATGATACTCTGATTCCGGAAGTGAGAGCCAATATCGCACTCCGTGCTGGGGAAGTCGGCTAGCGCTGTACCCCAGGTTGATGGGTCCGGAATGGCGGTTGGATCGTTAATATTGTGTGGGATGGCGCGGCGAGGGAAGAACCATGCTCTTATCCCGGCGTCTCGGAGTTCGAGGGCGTAGACCTGGGAGGGGATGTCAGGATTTACGTGAAATGCAAATATAATGGAGGAAGAGGGAAAGGGGTACTACTTACTCCGCCGCCAGCCTCATTTAGAGCTTCACCGTATGTAGATGGATCTCCCACAACACCACAACCCGAGTTGCCACGCATGGAATCATCACAAGTCTTGGAAACAGCCGAACCGGTCTGCTTCCGCTTAACATCCATATTACACCCCTTAGTCGTGTGTAGAGTGACCTCATTACCATGAGAGCCCATGTTCGTCGTCTCCAGAATATCGATCTCGCCATTATTCGGCCAGTTATACCCATCCACCAACCACAGCGCGGGCCAGGTAGCGCAGCCGTAGGGCGTGTGGATGATGTCGAAGATAAACAGACCTGTGTCATAGGTCTTTTTAGACTCGATTCGAACCGAGTTGCGGCCGTTTAGTGCCTTCGGTGTGGATGAGTCCACGCGTAGGATGGCAGATGTGTCCGTTGCGTAGGTCAGATTTAGATCGTGGGCAGCCATTTCACCGACGTAGACGACATGACCATCTGTGGGGTCTTCATCGGAGAAATAGTTGAATTGCTCAAAGAACGAGGTACCCGAGTATGTGTCGACTATTCTGTAGTCCAGGGCGGTATAATTTGGGTAGCGATTGAGTTTGACTCCATAGTATGGAGCGAGGATGACCACGATGATGAAAATGGCGGCTCCCAGTCCAACGAGAACTTTCTTGAGTAGAGACCAGCCCCGTGGATTATACCAGGGGAAGATAGTAGTAGGACCGGCCCCATTCTCGTTCTCATCGAGTGGTTTGCGCTCTGGGGACTCGGCAGCACCTGTCACCTCTGGGATCACTGGGATCTTGGGAGGCCGTGCCATTCTGGGAGGAGTCATATTTCCCAGCCGGGGCAATCGAGAAGTCTCACTACTATATCTGTTGCCGTACTCGGGTGGAAGTAGTCTGTCATCCATTTTGAACGAGTGCTTTGAATGAGTGTAGATAGATGATAGTAGATAGCAGACAAAGACAGAGATAGACTGAAGTGGGCCTTTGGATGTAGGATCTACGAGACGTCAAGTCGAATTGTTTTTAAAAAGGTACGAGTGTTGATGCCGTCATACCAACCCCTGCGCCCGGACGGGTCTAGTGCTGATCTTTCCTGGCGCGGCCCGTTTGCGATGAGCCGTACATAAAATGAAGCTATACCGCGGTACTCCCACGGTTGGCGGAACTATAACTGATCAGACTTCCAGAAGGAGCGACTCACTTCCTGCGTAGGTTTGCAACACCAGAAAGGCCGTATAAGACGATTTGAAGCTCGTTCATCACTGTCATGGGGGTCATTGTTGATGTCTGAGATGGACTTCCGCTTTCGGACTGGAATGCGGCGTGCCCCAGAGATCCGCACGCGGGGAACTTCACGTCATGCCATGGCCAGGGAGTACTATTACTCCTGATTATTCGTATTAGTACTAGTAGCAGGTACTACTATCTGACGTAGATGCAAAACCTTTCAAGGTTCTATGGTTGATTCATGATGCAATAGTATTTTATAGCAATATGTTCAAATCTCAAATACCCAAGCCAACACCACGTTCGACATATATACCCCAACATAACACCAGATGCAACGCCAACCTCTATAAATGTACAAAAGACCTATCATGTATTTACACAGGCCACCAGTTTTAGTGACTTCGCTTCTCTATCGAGCAGACCTCACTGTCGACGACCGATGGACGAAGGTATCTCCATTCGCAGGCTGCCCGTGGGTTTGCCAGTCGTAAGATTCCATACCTGACGAGACACCAGTGTCTCCTCCCTGGGCATGCGACACACTGCGAGAAGGCTGTCGACCAAGAGAGCCGGCTCCGCTGAGATTCGAATTCCGGCGGCGCATACGGCGCTCAGACATAGCAGTTTCATGTCGATTAAGTGCGTCTGAGGGTAACAGAACAGCACGATCAAGTGCGTATGGCAGACCACGGTGACGACCGCGGATCTGCATAGCAATAATGACCAATTTGGAGACCACGCCGAACTGACCAGAGAAGGAGGTATTGGCGGTTGGGTATCCGAAGGAAAGACCAACAGTACCATAAGCCGAGACAACCTCGAACAAGACGGTGAACAACTGGAAGTTGTAGTCGTCTTGACTTGACAAGCGGCTGCCCTCGGCAATGGCGATAATGAACAGACCCAAGAAGACGTACCACAGATCGAAACTCAGCTGGCGCCGCAAGTGAGTTCCAATATAGCTGGGCGCTGTCTGAGCATCGTCGTCTTCGTCCTCCTCGAAACCGTAGACTCCCAGGCTCTTCTCCTCGTACACATTGGTGCGACGCATGGAGATAGCAATAGGAAACACGGATATATACATCATGATCAGGTAGGAAACCTGGATGGCTGGGTGGAGAGATGACAGGTTCACTACGCCAAAACCTGCGGTTCGGGTAGCAGCAGCCTGGAAAAAGCCATCCAAAACTCGAATTCCAGGTGGCAGAGCCGTGACGGCCGGATCATTCAACTGGAAGAGTGTCAGTGACAAGGCATGATACTGGAAAAGCGCACACAAGTACTTACATCCAAGATAATGAAAAAGATCACATCGATGCCGTTCAGCAGGACAAGAATGGCGAACAGCCACCAAGTGGCGTTTCGAGGGAAGAGAAGGGTGAAGCATCGACGCGGGTGATCCAGGAGAAACCGGAGCTCCTCCCAAAGAGCAGTGCCCTGTCGAGCAAATTTGGAAAGGACCCAAATCATGAACCGAAGCATGCACGGGAACGCAGTATTACCAATGATGATCAAAAATGCCAGAAGCAGCAAGGGAAACACCGCTTCTTGGAAAGAATTCATAGAGTCGGGAGTCAAGGCGAAACCCAGATCATTGAAGGCGGACGCAGCTGTAAAGATACCCCACCACGGCCGTCCAATGCCATCGGCTCTGACGATATTACCCCATCTAGGTACCGTCATGATCCAACCAATCATGGAGATCATTCCGAAGAGGTGAAAACCAACATAATACGATATGAGTACGACCGCCAACGTTTTCAAGGCTCGATACTCAATTCCACCAAGCTCGTCACGTTGCTCCTCGGTTAAGTCCACAAAGTTGGAGTTTCGCGCCACTGTCGCGTTCCAACTAAGATACGGCTGAGTGTTGCGTTCTCGCTCTTGTGTCATTGATCTGAATATTCCTCGAAAGGTGTTTCTGGTTGTCACATGGTCCAATTCTGTCGTTTCGTTGACCTCTTTAGTGTCTCGAACCGTGGGTCTGGTATCCAAGCGAGGGAAGGTATTGCCTCGGGTGCGGGTGCGTGTGATCTCCGGCTCATTAATAGTGATATGCGGTCCTTCCAGAGGACCAACCTGATCATCATGCTCCGAATGATGCTCATCCTCATTCTCGTCCTCGTCCTCCTCAGAGCTCCGAGGGCGATCAAATTGCGGACCGATGGGCTGGAATTGAGGCTGCGGTTCCTCTCCATCATCCAACGTCTCTGGAACACCACCGTTATCGTACTCGCGAGGACTCGGGATACGCAGAGCACCCTTGTTCTTCCGTTGGTTTTCCACAAAGGCAATGTGATGCTCCGGACTCAGCTGCGTAGGCACTCTTAAGCTGCCCAGCCCGAACCGTTTCTCGAGAACACGGTTGGTATCGTTGGAACTGGATTGTCCACTGGTACTCTGGTCTGGCGTGTCCTGCTCTGGCGTATCCACCCCATTTACGGTCCCCGCATTCATCTGGTCGACTGCACCGGTCGGGTCGGGAAGTTTGTTGCCGCGCGCATCGCCGGAATTGTTGCGCAGCACCACGATTGATCTCCCGCTCACGCCGAGCTCTGCGCGATTGATCTCTGCACTGTCCTTGTCCTTGCTGACTGTGTCCATACGCGACCGGGTAGCACGCAGCGCCCGCGCATCACGGACCACATGTTGAAAGCGCTTCTCAAACCAGTATAGACGGATGAAGACGAGAGCGCTGTGGATGAAGATCGGGGTGCACATCATAGTAATGAAGTACAAGACGATTTGCTGGTAGAGGGACAGCAGGTTGAGGTCGACGGTATTCAGCCCACTCTGAGTGGCGGAGCCAGCCGCCTGAAAGAGGGCATCGATGTAGGCGATGTTCCCCTGGGGGTAGACAATGATGGAACCAATGATCGCCCAGGCGATAATATAAGTGTAATGCAGAAGAATGAAATTCAGATGCAGTTCGTTGAGGAAGGGAACGCGGGCTTTGATGGCGTTCAGCCGACGGATAAATGCTGAGAACATGGTCAAGAGTGATGGCGTGTGGCGAGGACGATTTAAAGGTCGTCTTGCCCTGGCGGAGGCCTCAGTGGGAGGCGATGCCGGTATAGACTCGTCTCTAAAGGAGGGGAACTTGTCAAGCCTGTGTAATGCATGAAATGCGTCAGCCACGAGGTTGAGCTTTGTCTGCAAACCTTCGAACCTGTCGAACTTTCGAACCTTTCGGAAGTATTCATGTCGACCAATACATACATGTGTGATACCGCCGATCGCTGACCGGTCGGGAATCGTGCAGGAGGAGGGCTCGGGCGCAAGGCCGCTGTTAGCCGCGAGGGATCGAACCACGCAAAGGCATGGACGAGGGTTGAGAAAGTGAAGAAGTGAATAATTGAAAAGGGAGGGAGGAGAAGAGGAGAAGGGGAGAAGAAGCTGTGACGAAAGGCTCAGGCAACTTTCAGAGGCGCAAACGGAAGTGGAAGTGGAAGCGGGTCGGTGAAATTTGCATACGGTTAAATTACCAAAAATACGGCTGCCGACTAGGGAAAATAGGGAAAATGGCTGTTTGCCTGCCAAAAACGTGTAAACCTGTCGATCGCTGGAAATTAGCACCGCCACAACGCCTACGAGGGACAGAGTTACTGTGGTATTGTGAGAAATATTTATGGGGAACCCCTATTATTTGATTCTTACAATGTGAGTACAGTAGTATCAATGCAGCTGCCTAGAACCAATAGTATCTGTAGTTTGTCTATTGTATATACCTGTACTACCCACCACCACCGCCAAGCTTTGGCTGTTGCTGGGATCGCCTTGGCACCTTCACGGGACTCGCCGTCATTCCTCTTCATCCTTCCACCTTCTCTCTTCTCCCATCTTGATTGATTAAGATCGCAACCACTGTCCACCGCCAAGCGGCGGCTGAGATGCATCCTGCAGGAGCCTGCATTTGGAATGTGCATGTGAAATTCGCCTTTTGATACCCGCTCAGCTCTGCGATCAGTGCTGCTGCTGAGTGTTTCAAGTTCAACCCTACCCTCCGGTGGGTTTTCGACAGGGGATACCCGATCTCAAGGCCCACTTTTCATTCCACAACTATGTCGTGGCCCGTCCCTAGGCAAGCCCCAGGTGAGCTTACTTACGTTCGCGCTGCTCTGCCGAGTATCGAATTTCATCCATCAGACCCATTGGCCCTAGGGCTTTGCTTCCATACCAGTGGAATTCCCAATCGATCACGCCCTACAGGGCTGGCATGTTGAGATTCACTCCGGGGGTCTTGGAAGGGGCAATCATGGCCAGCCGGGTCTAGAACCGACATTCTTGCCAATGAAATTGCGCCCTTGGGCCGGCCATGCATAACAATGTTAGTTATCGTCCGGGTTGATACTGTCGGGTCGGCCCAAAAACCTTGTTCGGCATCTTCTGATACGGGAGACGGCATGGAAACGGTGAAGACCTTGACCTTGACCGACTCGTGACATTCTTAGCCAGCGAGGCCGCCCGGTATTCCCGATGCAAAATGCATTTCCTGTACGGGGGATGTACATGTGCTCTTGAAAGCGAGACGCCGTACGAGATACGATAGGTACAAACAGGCGTCCCCGCGGACCTCCACCTCCACCTCCACCTGCCCGGACCCTAATCGGATCATCGTCATTCCAATCGCTATCCTAAAATATGTGACCAATAGACGCCCCAGAAATGACCATCTCACATTGGTCGCTCTTTCATAAGCTTCCTGCTGACCGCCATCTGTCAGTTACTGGACCGGGGTGGGCTGACCGAATAGTTACTAGCGTTGACCGTAGTGGTAAAAAGCCATGTTGACCTTCTCGTCATGCGAGCCTGTCCCCGCTATACGTAACATGAGCATTTCCGAATGGAGGCAAGGCGTGCCAGTGCGTCTCGGCGAAGTCCATTATAAACTACTAGTACCTTGAATTCTCGAGAGAAGACTACATCCATGGATGCTACTACTCCATGCTATTGGGAATGTAAGCCAGCCAAACCGCGCCCAGTTATTTATTGCCCGGTCAACAGGCACACATCTTGATTGAAAAGTTAAGGATTACTAGCACCTATACTTATAAGAGTCACCTTAGGCGGCATAGTACAATGATGCCGCCTGAGATGACTATTATTAGCCTAAGAAATTTGAAGGTATGCGCTCCGGGACTTTTAAGCTAATCAACCTCCTCTCTTCATACAGTACTACTAGAAATAGTAGATTTCATAGCCACTGGTAGATCTTTCGTTCTCCCATCTCCCTTCACCCTAGACATTCAAGTTCCGCGTGCTTAAACTGCATCGCTAGGAAGCAACTGTTCGCTTTTTCTTGATTGCAGAAGATCTGCTGTGACGAATCAAACGTCTGCCCAGGTGTCCCCTGTTGCTTGCGCCCGCATCTAGTATCCAATTCGTCTACCTTCGTCCTTTTTTTTTTTCTCCCTCCCCTGCTTGACACTCAGCAATGACACTGTAATATTTTCCATTTGTCTATGTTTGATCATCACATAGCTCGGCTGCTACATCTGTGTCTACACGGGCTCAGTCTATCATTTGAATAAATTGGAGCTTTACGCATGACCTCATTTTAAGCGTACGCTATTGTCTTCGTTTCAGAAAATACCTGATTATTGAATCTGGCAATGCTAGGCGAAGTAAATTGGATAAAAGAACGAATGTCACCAACAAGATCGACGCCAACGCTCCGGGTCTCAGGCAGTGATTGTCAAGGGCTGGTTCAATCTAGAAGGATTTTTGGATTCCGTTGACTCGGAATCCGGAAGGCTGATTAAAATCATGCACTTAACTGGACAGTGTGGCGGTCATAGCCATGCGGCTCTGGTGGGAGACGAAGTATAGCCACAGTGTCTGGAATGGAAACTTCTTCCGACTCCGTCACAGCTGCCAGGTGATCTGATGCCCACTCCGTGTACGCTGAAATGGAACAGTTGCAATAGCATGACAAGTTCAATTTACGGTGCCGGATGCAAGACAGAAGCAAAAATAATTTTATAGTACTAACCTGTTTTAGCTAGCACTGCGAGACAGTTTTCAAGGGGTCCAAGGTGTTTGCCCCCCCTCCCCCACACCCCGCCGGGGCGGGGCGCTTTAATAATTTTAATTAAGCATTGAGCTCAGGGGGGATAGTGCACCTTTGTCTTGATATTAATGTTATTTTTTAACCCTGGCTTCGGCATCAGAGTCACCTCAGCTAGAGACTACGCTATCGGGTCCCGGGCCCCATTTGTTTCACCTCGTCTGGATGTTTGTCAGGAGCTCTACTATTATATAACCAAGGAAAAAACCTAGAAAAGGCCAAGCGATGGTTTCACTCTTGGAAACAGGCGTTGTTTTTCAGAGGTCATCGATTCCCAATGCACCCTTTGCAAGATAAGCACCCCTGAAACCTCCGATGACCCATCCGATTCTTTCAGAATTTCCTATATCTCGGCGCTCTAACGTCCAACGCTCCAACGCCTACACCGATGTGGATACTAATACCAAAGTAGACAAAGCGATCATTGGAACTTAAATCTAGAAATCCGCGTCAATACCTAGAATCCGGTCTCCAGGTGAAAGGTCGCCGAGGCTTAAGTATGATATCCTTACCGATCATATACCGGAAAGATGGAAAATCTTTGGGCAGTAGAAAGGAGGCCTCGATTCAATGCATTCTAGCCCTGGCATTGGTTTATTTGTACAAGTACTAACCACAGACCAATGAAATGGAGTAAAAACTCATCGTTCATCGCTGCCCAATTTCTTACAAGGGAAATGGCATACTGTACTAGTGGACAGAGATATTCCTGGACTGCGCACTGGTGCTGAGGGATCGCAAGAGTACTCCACACTTGGTATTTATCTCCGACGCCGTTAAACCGACCTCGCGGAACTTCACGGCCATTAACTGCAAGCCACTGAGATCATCTCATTCAGAAACTCTTGGCCCGAAAGTTCTCTTGGCAGAGATGTCGCCATCACTCGCTAGGCCCCGACTACTTCTAGTATATGGCGATCGCGATTTGGGTCACTTGGCAGTTTAGTTGGGAGCCAGCCCCCGTTTTTATCAAAAGATTTCATACTGACATACAACCGAGATGCGGCGCCGGATCCGCGTTTCGATCGGACCGCTCACCAAGGTGTGGGCGTGTGGACCCTGGTTTTTTGTGTATGGATGATGAACTGTGTATAATTTGTTATGAACGAGTGAAACCCTCCTCGCGCGTTGGCAAGATACTTGAAGATGCCTAGGACGACCATATCTGGGCATCTTGGGACTTAGGTACCTGGACGCTGCAGATCAGTTAGAGAAAGGAGCGGGTTGCCGATGTTGGTAAGGAATTCGGGGCAAGCCGAAAGAGTAGAATGCCGAGAATCTTGGGCGCCAAGACGCTAATGCGAGCTGCTGACCCTGATTAGCCATTCATCGTTTGGTGGGTTTCACAAGCTGGTTTCTTTATCTATCACCCCACGCTTCCGGGGGAATCCCCGGGGAGGGGGTGGTTGCTTGGAATGGTAAATAAGACTGTGGATGTGGTGTGGTGTTTCAAGTTTGCTTGGTAGAAATTTCGAAAGTCGATCCAACTTTTTCGTTGGGGGATATCATTGAATGCTAAGTGGGAATAATGCTAGAAAATAGAATACACATAGAAGATGGGATAGAAAGTCCAGGGTGCCATGCGCCCCGGGTTTCAGCGGTGTTTGAAATGTAGGATGGCTTTGATGACGGCGAAGGCGGTCGTGCCAAGAAGACATATCTTGAGCAGAGGCCAAGAGTTGACGTAGGATAGCAACCACTCGGCGCTGCAAGGAGTCAATGACTCGCTCAGGTGGGTGTGGATGTGGCCGGGTTCGCTCACCTCGACTCATCATCATCGAGCTCTCGGATCATGCCAGCTTCTCGCAGTGCTTGCATTTGTTCGGAAGTGACGTGCGCTGGGTCGATACCAAAGTCTGAGAGACCGTAGGGATCGCCATTGCGAATGGGATTCTTGTGCTCTGGTTCAGGTGATTGGGATGGCACGGAGGTGATGTCGATGGTTGAGCTGGGTGCAGAAAGTTGTGATTGTTCGGCAGCGATGGCCTTTTGCTCGGAGAGCAGATCGCTAACGGGCAGTGGAATGGCAGTGGCTAGAGCAAAGATACTCCAGAAAGGTGCGAGCAGGAGAAGTGATTGAAGGAGAAGCATCTTGGCGGTATTCCAGTGCGGTCAAGGGAGATAAGGATTCAGGAATGCGATGCGAGATCAATACTGGCAGGAATATCTTTTTAAGGAGAGAAGTAGCAGGTACTGCAGGAGGGATCATCCCAAGCTATAAGAAATTAAACTCGATCGCATTTGAACACTGGCTTCTGGCTCCCCCCTCCCTTGGCACCATTCGATGTCGGGCCAGGATGCACGGGCAAAGACCCCCCAGAGCCATAGGGCCGTAGATAACGACCAGTGGGTCTGGGAGGATCCACCCGAGGATGCATGATGAATTCTCCAGTGGATTTCCAGTGGGCTGCCAGTAGGTTTCCACCGGGGGCTAGTGAACTGGCCACTCAGCATCTCCGTCTGGCCCAGCATGCGCAGCGCGATCGCCCTAGTGGCTGAGCGATCTTGGCGCTGACCTGCTGCCGGACTTAGTCCTCGTTCACCGAGGGCAAATATAACCTTTGCTTTAAAGCTGATGACTCGTTCCTGATTTTCTTGCAGTCCGTAGATCAGTGGGAATCCACTGGCCAATTGGTAGGGGTCCGAAACCGACCTCAGTATCCAGCCAGGCTGAAGTTCAAGTTTCGAAGAGTATACGCAGCCCTACAACGCAGCCCGTCACGCAGCCCCATAACGTATGCCGAACGCGTCAGCGCGGATTGCGTGAACGCCTACTTTAATTCCAACACCACTACCACATCGATCTCTATTTCCTTTCATACTGTTTATTTATAGGAGGAATATACCTCCATAGGTGACATACATCTTGTGGCGCATGCAAATCTTAGAGAATACTACGGTCTACGAAACCAATGGCTGCATCCAGCGTAAATATATACTACACAAACGATATTTCTGTCCTAATTCGGTCTGAAAATAATAGGAAAATCAAATTGTAAAGCAAAAACTAGTACAAGTTCACATCGCGAAACCCCAAATACTATCAAAAAATATCAATACTCCGCAAGGATCCCATAGTGCACACTTTCATCAAGCTGAACCCTTCCACCTCGAAGAATAACCTCGACAGCCTGGTATTTCAAGGCTAGCTCTATGGAGATTGATCGTCCCCGAAGCAGCAGGATATGCTATCAGATCAGTAGAATGTCTATGTAAACTGAATGTCCGACAACTGGAGCTGGACTTCGAAAGAGCCGGGTGGATTGAGTTTCTCCAAGTCCAGAGACTCAGAGGCAAGAAGAGCCGCCTCAACATCGACCCCAATTCTCGCAAACAGACGATCAAGTTCGGGAAAGTTCTTGATAGCCTGACCAATGTATGCCAGATCTAAAAACTCATGAAGGTGTTTAAACCGCAATTTGTATCTCTTCTCTAAGAGCCGGAGATCGCTACTATCGTGAAACCTGGCGCGAGTCGCGGTCAGACGAACCTTGTCCTTGAACAGGAAGAATGGGTGGATAAAGCATGAAGGTCCCCCTTTGTGCTTCTTCCAATAAACAATATAAAGGACAATTATAAGATTACTCCTCGATTTCTTGCCTAAATCATGCTAAGTTAGTTAAAATGTTCAGTCATTGAGAATGGGGGTGGGGGTTACTCACTAGGAAGATACTCGCAGAAACACTCCACCATTATAGGATTACTCCGATTTGGTAATTCGGACTATAGAAAAATAAGATGATCCTCGCGGGCTTGCGGGAGAACGACAAACCCTTCCTTTCCATCAAGCACTTTGGTGAGATTATCTTTCGAGGTAGAGATGATACAGCTGATATTGTCGGCTCCTCGTGGCGAATCTTCATCCAGGACTACGCTGATCGCATAGTCACCGAAAAGTCCAAACCTAATGTTCTTCTTCTCATGTAAAACATTGTAGAGGATGATGGCAATGTCGGCCAGTCGGTCTTGAGCATGGCTGCGGAAGATAAAATGAACCTGAATTAAAAGGCAATCACGAGCGGCGATGGAGAGAATAGGATTTTTCTCGGTCTTCGCAATGGCTTTATATCTAATCTAGATCAATATTAACGGTGGTAAAATTGCAAGCCATCACCAAAAAATATCATTAGCTGTAATAAGGCTGGTAAAATAGGTCATTCGTCAAAAAAGATGTGGGCGCTGCGATATTGTCTGTGGCTTGGCCACATTCTTGTCGCTTTGAACCAGATCGTAGACTAACTGTATTTAGCCCCCTGATCAATTACTCGAGATGTCTACCTTTGTCAAGGTCTTTTCGAGAAATTGTACAATGGCCTTTGAAAGTTAGTTCCATGAATTCATTGAGGACAGCCGTGTTTCCGCTAATCGCAACTAAGATGGTGCTACGCCACTCGATATTTCTTTACTGCAAAAGTATCACCTTTTCAAAGAATTGCTCCTAAATTACGGCTCTAATAATGCCATTGTTTAGATTCGATCGAATCTATTCCTGATATGGCGGCGTTCAAGGCCTTGGTTGCATAGTCTAAATCCAAACCCGTTGTCAATGTCCAATCAAAGCCTCAAATTGACACAGTCAAACAAAAGAGCCACATTCCAGTCTATCAGTCAATGATCTTTGACTTCGTCCTCCGGAAGGTTCCGTCATTTGACAGCTCGAGAAGGGAGACAAGGCTCTTTATCAAGTTAAAGAACTCGATGATTCAAAGATAATATCTAATTTCTCGACTTGAGCTTGAAACATGAACCTGTCTTTGCATGTAGCTTGTCAAGATACAGGTAAAATGATTAGAGCTCCGGATGAGGTCTTGCAATTCGGTCTTTGCACCGCCCGACTCTTGTAAACTGGTGGTTATCTTGGTTATTCAATCAGATAACTGGCAAAACTTCACCAACAGAAAATCCGAATGAATCTCTTCACATATTTCCTGTTGGGTATTATTACCTTTAGGAATCAAGGCATGGATCTGGCCAAGTAAATCGAAATCAGAAGGATGAGCACGTTACGAGACACTCCGTCACACGGCTGAACTATTCCTTGGCATTCATTGTTTACGTTGGGAGGAGAGCCATCCTCGCTCCATTTTTCACGATATAACCTTACTAGAGAAAAGGAGCTAAGCAGGTAATTGATAGAAATAATAAGGTCGATTCTATCCTGACTAACACGAGATAGAAACTAAAAGATCGATGGATTGACCAAGGGAAGCCCTAACGCACCCATGGACACCTCGCAACGCCGCATCATTGGTCAACACTCATCGAGCGTTTCTTCCCACACCGGCCCAGCCGGATAGAATCATCATCATGAATGTGTAACTGGGCATTCTGACAGTGTGTCATCTTATCGCCCCATCTATACCATTGTCCTTAATCGGCGAGTCGATCCAGATCAGTGTCGAACAGTGTCTCTATCCACCAAGTTCCCCATCGTGGTGATGGCGATCAACTGGATCCGCAGGAATCGAAGGGTACTGATTGTCCTGGCCACCAGTGTGCTAGTCATACTTCACTTGGTTATGGGGAGAATGGGAGAATATGAAACAGAGTCCAACCCGGCAATCTACGCGAATCTTGAGTCCAACCATGTCAAGACTCAGAGCGAGCTCATGAAGCCAGGATTGGCCGCTGGTTGGACTCTCGATCAAGAATCAGTTCCATCAAATTCTATCGATATTCCTACCCGCCCTGTACTGAAGTCTACGGACTCTGTATACACAGAGCCAACTCGATTGGACCCCGCTCGGCCAACGTCTGGAGATGCGAGGACGACCCTGTTCAACTTCACCCCACCTTTCCGCACAAAGGGACGTCATATCATCGATGCAGCCCAAGTCCCCCTCAGACTCGTCAGTATCAACTGGTATGGTGCAAGTGACATCGACTTTGTTCCGGGTGGGTTGGACGTTCGACATCGGGATGAGATCGCGCAGTTGATCCGCCGGCTGGGGTTCAACAGTGTCCGACTACCCTACGCTGACGAGATGGTAAGGGCAAATCCGGTCATCGACGAGAGGGTAATATCTAAAAACCTAGATCTTCATGATGGGCAACGGTTAGTCCCAGCACGAGCTTTGGATGTATTCCGCGCTGTGGTGGAGAGTCTCACCGCAGCTGGCCTCTTGGTTATAATCAACAACCACATCACACAAGCGACATGGTGCTGTGGCGCTAACCCCTGCGACGCCGGCTGGTCCAACGACTGGCTTTTTGGGAAAATCTTCTGTCGCGTTTCCCAGAGTGAGGACGAGTGGATTGAGAATTGGAGACGGTGATGCAGCCGTTGGTATCGAACCCGTTAGTCCTAGGGGCAGACCTTCGCAACGAGGTGCGTGGGCTTTGGGGAACGATGCATTGGGAAGATTGGGCCAAGGCCGCGGAGCGAGCGAGTGAACGCCTCTTAGCATGGAACCCTGAGTGGCTTATGATCGTCGAAGGAATCTCCTCGGCGAATGACTTGACCGGGGTACGGAGAAGACCCGTGCAGCTCAGCGTACCGGACCGGGTGGTATACTCCGCACATGTCTATCAATGGTCTGGATGGGGCCAGTTATATCCATATTCACGCAGGACATATGAAGAATTTGCGGCGGCGATGCGAGAGAACTGGGGGTACTTGATAGAGGAGGATGTAGCGCCGGTGTGGGTAGGGGAGGTTGGCACACCTGATGAACCCACGGACGGAGACGTGAACTATTGGACGCATTTAGTGGAATATTTGGAAGAGGTTGGAGCGGGCTGGGGGTATTGGGCGTTGAATGCGCACAAGGCCACGGGGGAAGGAGAGTTATGGCTTGGTGGACTCGCAGTGGGACTGGCCCTCGGTTCGCTGGGCACATCCCGCATGGTCGTTGGTCAATAGAAGCAGCAGATAGGATATAGCCCGTATTGTTACGGAATATACCGAACCCTGACCCCTTCTTCACAGTACTCGTAAACCCATAATTGATGCCATGCCTAATTACAGGAAATGCTCACAGCCAATGGTGCTCCCACGGTGTGCCAAGCTTTGACTCCACTATGTAGATCGTACATCAGCAGAGTACTCAGCAGTACTCAGTACTGAGTATTCTACTAGTAGTAGCTATATACATATCCTGACCAGATGCAGGGTCTACCTATCGGTTGTCTCCATGTCCACTGTGCTCAGGGTCTGAGGCCTGATTCGTCTCACTCCATCCAGGGTCATCTTCATGTGTTGTAGATCGCATCTCTCCTGACCCGCTCTCACTCTGCCTTCTCCCATCCCTCTGACATACTCTCTTCCTATTTTCGTGGTCACGATACTTCGTGACTTTTGGCTTTTTCCCCTTTTCTATTTATCACTGTCAGGGTCCCTTAACGAAGTTTCCTTTTTCCCTCTGTTGTTTTCTCTCCGCTCCCTCTACTCACAATGTTGGGGTGGGTGACTCGCTGTCTGCCTGGCTTCAGCCTAATCAGCCTAGCTCTGCTGCTGCTCTGCGCTTTTACCGACATTTTGGAGTCTCCGATGCTGAAGGGGTTCTTGCCAACACCTTCCATAACTCCTCCTACACAAAATGGCCCATGGAGTGGGCTGGGGTTGGCCCAAAAGGCCTTCATCATCTACACTGTCTTGCTCCATGTCCATACCTTTGGATTCACTATTCGTCTCGCCTGGTCAATCTCCAGAACCCTTCAAAGCACGAAGGAGGTCTTCCAGAGACGCCTTGCAACTTCTCCTTTCCCCTCCCCGAAGCCTACACGGCCGGAATATCAGCTATATTCTGACGCGCCTCCATCCCCAGTGTCCTTGCCGGACGCGACAATCTCGTCTTTTGACAAAAAGGACTTTATTACTGTCCATGAATTGACTGAGAAAGAGCTTATCCATGCAATCATTCTACCCAATTACTGCGAAGACCTTCACACTCTGGAAACAACCCTGAAGGTGCTGGCAAGTCACCCGCGAGCCAAATCGCAGTATGAGGTACGATTCGACAGCAAATGGAGATATTCAGGACAAAAGCTAAAATTTTCACATAGATTTATCTCGCCATGGAGCAGAAAGAGGCTATCGCCGCCGACAAAGCTGGTCATCTCGTATCCACTTTCGAACACTGCTTCCTTGATATCCACACAACTTTCCATCCTGCTGGCATAAAGGGCGAGATCGCCGGGAAGAGTTCAAATGTAGCTTGCGCTGCCCGGCGGATCATGGAGGTTCATCGCACAGAGCTGAAGATGGATTGCTGCGATGTTATGGTCACGGTAATGGACGGTATGAATCTACACCACCATCCAACTGCAATTCACCTCTAACACTGGAACAGCGGACACGCACCTCTCCCGTGATTATTTCACTGAGATCCTTCGCCTCCATTACTTACATGAGGATGAAGCAGACCGCTCCATTTACTGCTGTCCTATTCTATTTGACCGCAACTCCCATGAAGTACCGGCCCTAGTGCGCTGTGCCGATCTGATGTGGGGCTTCGCTGGACTGTCAACGATGTACCCGGGGACATGGATTTCGATTCCTACTTCAGTATACTCCTTGCCTCTTTCTTTGGCCGAGAAAGTGGGTGGATGGGACAGTGATCCCACTGCTATCGGCGAAGACATGCATATGCTGCTGAAATGCTACTTCGAAACCGCGGGGAATATTATTTCCCGCGTGGTTCATTCCCCTGCTAGTCAGTGCAACGTTTCCAGTGATAGCCGACACGGTTGGCGACGTACGGTCGATACCTGCGCCGCGCGATATCGCCAGGCGTTGCGACACATGTGGGGAGCTTTGGATACCGGCTTTGCAGCGCGACGCACGCTGGGATATCTTCGCTTCCATCATCGATGTTCGTTCCTGCATCCCCGCCACTTCGCTCTGCTCTCTCTCCTCTGGGAGGCGCATTTCCTCCCCGCTCACCTTACCATCGTCATGATTTTTTCCGTGATATACAAATTTCTTACTCCGGCGACTCAAATACATCCGACTTTAGCATGGGCATTCACTGTGACTGAGATCTTGCGAGCTCTTTCTTTCATCGGGATGAATGGTTGTCTGTTTTTATACGAGTGGTGGCATAAACTGCATCTTGATTCTCGCATGGAGGACATGAACGAAGCCAACATTGGCGATACTGGATGTGCCCGTCGTCTCTGGTATCGACCGCAATTCCTCATCGACCGTATCTGCTTCCCCATTGCGGGTACGGTATTCGGTGCTGTGCCCACCCTTCATGCCGTTCTCTCTCATTTCTGGACTGATAGGCTCGTCTACCGCGTGAGTAAGAAACCGACATTTTCGCTCGAGGCAGTAGGGTTGGCCTGAATATCATCTTACCATTCGGGAGGGATACCATCTCGGCGTTTGTCTTTATTATTTAGATTACAGACGAACTATCCAATACTAATAATAATAATGTAGCAATGTCATTAATGCCAGTGCTCTTTCATACCCCGAGAAATTATTGCCCCGCGATTGCTTGCAGAACCCTTTCGGCGCGGGGATTGGATTTGCAGCGATGTGATTCGCGTTTTCCCCCGCGACCCACCGTCTCCAAAATTTTGGGGTCGGAGTATCATCGTGCACACTCCAACTTTATAAACGCTTCCTGACAACATCTGGAACTTCTATCCTTCAAAAAAATACAGAGTAATAAATCTATAGGATGGCATCAACTCGACGCGTTGCCGTGATCCAATGGCATATCAAGGTAGGTCAGACCACTAGCCAGCCCCAGCGCTGCCCAGGGCAGCTATCTATGACGCAGTGAGGATCCAATTGGTAACTGATCGACTTTGCAGGATGTGGAGGCAGAACAAAATCATGCCACTGCATGCAACTATATCCGGCAGTCTGCAGCTGAAGGCGCAGAGCTAGCCGTTCTGCCTGAGTATGCAATGCCTCCGTCTATCCATGGCGTTGCCACCAGGTGCAAACGAGTTGGCAAACCGAATCTACTACTAACACTGCGCTCAGATACCATCTCAGTGGAATGGTTCCCAATGATCCCCGCTGGGCAATCCAAGCAGCTGATTCTGCCAAGTACCTTGCCAACTACCAGGCCCTCGCAAAGGAATTGAAGATTTGCATCGTACCCGGAACGATCATTGAGAAGCAGGAGGGACCGAATGGAACCCCCCATCTTCTACAACACAGCTTATTTTATATCTAACGATGGTTCGATCCTTGGATCATATATCAAGAAGAACATCTGGCACCCTGAGCGCCCGCACCTCACCTCTTCCGGCTTGGACCGCCATGTTGCCATCGACACACCGATCGGTCGCGTGGGCATGCTGATCTGCTGGGATTTGGCGTTCCCCGAGGCATTCCGCGAGTTGATTGCCGATGGGGCTGACATCGTGATCATCCCCACATACTGTGAGTGATAAGCCTATACCCCAATTACAGCTCTTGTTCTCATTGCTAATGGGTCCAGGGACCCCACACGACGCCTCTGCGGATTGTATCAAGTACAATCCAAACACAGAAGGACTTTTCCTCGAAACAACACTCACAGCCCGCGCTTTCGAGAACACTTGCGGTATCATCTTCTGCAATGCTGCCGGGCCATCCGAGGATTTCCTCGGCTTGTCGCAAATCACCCTTCCTTTGGTGGGGCCTGTTGCGAAAATGGGATCCGAGGAGGGAATCTGCGTCGCCGATATGGACCTTAAGGTGCTAGAGGTTGCAGAGAAGAATTATAAGGTGAGACAGGATATCAAGAAGGACGATTGGCATTATGTCTATCGGCATAGTTCGAAGTAGACTTGGCGATGATGATACTACTAGTACTGCACCTTATGCACCAGTCATCGAAAATCAATATTCCAACATTCAAATTCAGTTCTTTTAAATATAATAGAATCAACCTTTTCTCTCCAAGGTGAAAGAAGATACTCCAAGTTAGTGAACACAATTTATTACATTTTATTGCCCGTTTATTACTGGCCTTGGCGCCACTGCGGGCCTGCGGAGGGACCTTTTTCCGCGCCCCAAAAGTGTAACCGGTCTGCCTTTCTTGAGTTGAATGATATGATCGAGTACACCTGAACATGATCAATGGTCAACAAGAAGAATGGCCTCGAATGACCCTTCAAATTCAGGTAGAGAGTTGACTCCACAACGGCTCCCCACTCGAGTGAGGACCGCCTGCGAACGATGTCGGCTTCATAAATCTCGGGTAGAGTGATCGCGCTTCGGCATCCTGCATGCATATCGGGCCGTTACTAAATCAAGAATCCATGGTAGTGCGACAATGAAAGACCATGTTTGCTCTGCGCACGAGCCGGCGTCGATTGCCAACAGCTACCTTCAAGCCGGACTCCAACAAGCAGGGCCCGAAAAACCACTGCGCGGAAGTAAGTTCACCTATGTTTCTTGCAAAGAATCATTCACTCACTGCGAGAAAAAGGGGAACTAGCAAGAACACCTACTCATGGTGATCAGCGTTATATCTCACAACCTAATCGCAATTCGCATCTTGGAAGTGGTCGAGCCCCCGCTCGCAATCCATCTGATGGGCTTCGGTCTGCAGATTCCCCTGATAGGATAGACCAGCCCTCTGTTTCTTCAAATACGGGAATCCTTTCTCCGCCAACTCATTGCGATGAGGCTCAATCCGCCCTAGGAATCGCTCAACGGATTTTCGAACTTTCTAGTCAACATATTGACGAAAGCACCACATCTGCCATTCCTGGCTATCGCGCCGGTGCCAGTACTAATTACAGCGTCTCGGCATCCGCTGCTGCTGAAGACTATCAACGATCGCCCATCTCGTCAATCTTGGGAGGTCCATTTCCTCCTATGGACTTGGTTTACTGCCTTCTCGAAGAATATTTTGATGCCATACATTGGTTCTCATTAGCTATCTACGAGCCAAAGTTCCGCAAGATGCTTAATTCTATCGCAGATGGGTCTGCCAATCCTTCCGACAAGCCCTGGCTGTTGCTATTATCAGTCATGCTCGCAATGGCGACGTGGTACCAATCCCAGAGGACTGGCACGGATTTGGCCGATACTGGGGAAGAATGGCGAACCTTGAGTGCACGGTTGCTGAAAATAGTCGAATCAAATCTCGTGGAGATAATGGATCGACCATCTATCACAGCAATTCAGACCTGTGTTCTTCTTGGGTCTCACTACGTCTACCACGGTCGCCCAAGCCTTTCATTTTCACTGTTAGGGACCACCATTAAAATGTCCCAATCACTGGGGTTCCATCGGCGGTCCACCAGAGGAACCTTCGAGGACATAGAGGAAAGAAAAAGAATTTGGTGGACCATTTATACATGGGACCGATTCGCCTCAATCACATACGGCCGGCCATTAGGAATCAGTGATAAGGATTGCAATGTTGAGATGCCGGTCGATACTCCAGAAAATCCTCTTTTCCGCGCAGCGCCAGCCGATCCGGAAAGCTTCATCACATACTCTCCTTATCAACGGGAACTCAATAAGCTATACTTGATAGCATCACCGGCCCTGGAGATCGTCTTTGGTTCCCGGACAACTGGCTCCGATAATCTAACAGGAGATGCGTATTATGAGCTAGCGAAAGAAGCAACACAAAACCTTCAGAGATGGTCGAGTCAACTACCAAGCCATCTTTCCTTGAACCTGGGACAAGACTTGTCTCTTGATGAAGACCTCGAATTCAAAGTCCATGCATTGCAGTCCTTGGCATTACAATTGACCTACGATAATGTTCTTATTGTTCTGCATCGACCACTACTCAACCGACAGGTTGACTATCTTTCCAACAAAACCCAGGGAGGCTCAGCCTTCCAAGGGGACAGCCCTATTGATCATTCCAGTGCAGGCCCCGCAATGACCCAATCGAGTTGGAACTTCGACGGGATGAATTCCAGATTCCAGGATGACAGCTCACGATTGTGGATGAATGCAGCAGTGAGAACATCCCGAGTGACAGAACTACCTGTTCTCGCTCAGCTTGCCACAGATAGCCATCTAGTTGCATTTCTCGCCATCAATCTTTTCAATGCAGCAATTGTTCTCGCTGTGATGGCCCTTTCAGAGCCACTTTCCGACATGGCACAGGACATCAAGCGAACAATTACTCGAATTTTGCGTCTACAGGATCTACTTGGGAAACGCTCTGCGCTGTCAAAGCAAAGTACTCTCGTCTTGAGAAATGTTGTCATTTTACTCTTGCACCGAGAATCGGCCACAATTTTTGCACCTATTTCCGGCCCGAATAGACAACCTCACGCCCTGTCTCAACAGGACTCGATTTATCATGAATCTATGTCCGTCGAAGACACACTTCGCCTGCCTCTTAATCCAACCCTGGAATCCCGCAACCAACACCCAGGAGATCAAACATGGCTACCCCCAAGTAGAGCAGATCGGCTTAATGAAAGCTTAACATCGGTACAATATGGTACGTCTAATGCCTTGGGCACTTCATGGGAATATCGGGGGAGTATAAGGTATGAGAACTAACGTGAGTATGCAGTCTTCGGCAGCAACGAAATTGCTTCGAATTTGGTCCTAGGTACAGAAACTCCTGTGCAGGGAACCTTCGCTGATGAAACTATCCAACCAAGAGGCAACTGGAGCCCATCTTCAGGCTATGACTGGAATGCCTCTGGCATTGTTGAAGATGGCTTGCGGCAGAGTACTTATGACGCTATCGACGGCGGGCTGTGCTGGCTGTGGGATACGACATGGAATGGATTTGAACGACAATGACTGATGTTTATGTACATTCACTTACTACGGACTTAAAAATATTATTTTTCCCGGAAATATCGTCCAAAACGGCAGTAGTATACGATATTCATATATGCCCTTCGAGGCTTCTTCATCGCACCGCTATCATGAGAGTTGGATTTGAATTGTGATCTTGCGCTAATTGAACTTATTCGCCTCGTTCTCGTCAACATCAGGTCCATAAATAACACTTTTAATTCCAGCGCGACCAACAACATTCTTAAACGCGTCCTCCGCGTCTTCAAATGAAAACTCATGGGTAACGAGCCCGTCAAGTTTGACTCGACGCGAGTTTAACAGATCAATCGCCATTTTAAAGTCTCCAGGCCCATAGCGAAAGCTTCCTTTGAATACGGCCTCTTTGTCACAAATTTGACCGACTGGCAGAGAGGGATTCGGGTTGCCCAACCCAACTTGTACGAAAGTACCCCCTCGAGTAAGAGCATGGATGCCGCAGGATAGACAAGGCTCGGCACCGGTTGCATCTAGAACAACATCAAATCCATAATCCAGCCCGACTGAACTCAGCAATCCCTTCGCATTGATCTCTGGAGATTCAGTGTCCATTTTGTATGCATGGGTAGCACCATGCTTCAAAGCAGAAGCAAGGCGGCTATCAACGACATCAATAGCAACCACAGTCGAAGCTCCAAATGCGCGTGCAACAGCAGAGCAAAGCAATCCGACTGGTCCTGCCCCGAAAACCGCAACCGAGCTCTCCTGCAGAGATCCCGCAAGTCGACAGCTGTGCACTGCCACGCTCAAAGGCTCGATCATAGAGCCATCGCGGAGAGAAAATATGGGACGGCAGTTTATAGCAGCATTCGCTGGGGGCGCGGTAGTATTTGGCGAGGGTTCCGTCGTAGGAGAGGAGTCGCTGCGAAGCGCATCGATTCGCATAGATTGTAACGACCACCGCGGCAATAATGGCAGATGTTGCAGGCAAACCCAGGCTCAAGCATCACGCGATCACCAACTGCAAGGTCGGTAACCTTTTTACCGCACTTCACGACAATCCCGGAGGACTCGTGGCCTAGGATGATTGGTTTCTCCACGACATACTGTCCAATGCGACCATGTTGCCAGTAATGAACCTGCGGTGGTATCGAAATTAGACTCTGCTGTACAAGAGTATCAATGTGAGGGCCGTCTTCTTACATCGGAACCACAAAGGCCAGTCGCAACAATTCGTACTATTACATCGCGATCGGTCTCGAGATCAGGAACGGCGCGCTGTTCATAAGTGAACTTCCCTCCGGGATGGAGCACAAAGGCCCGGTTGGCTGTCTAGAATCGATCAGTCGATGCAAGGGACAGCACAGTTTGCTTCGTAAAGACACCTACCAGAGAAGGATCTTGCAAAATGGTCATACTTGCTGCGGTCTGTAGGAAAAGATGAAGATTCCACTCTAAGATCTACCTAACATACGAGGAGTTAGTTATAATTCGTTCCTTGGCGATAATTACGGTTCCGAAGCTACGACGCCTTTCTATCTACTTGTCCCGTGCCGGAGCGAAAATTCGGTTAACTGGGTGGATTAAAAACAATATCCCTCATCACTTCCCCTAATACTAAAGTCATTTTATCAGCACGGGTCACTCAAAGCCGGTCGGGATCGGCATCCGAGTTGTTTATTGCGTTCCGGCGGGCCGACAACAGCATCCCCGGAACCGAGTGACCACTCACAGATCAAATAGGCCGCCGGATCAGAATGACCTGCAACGAAGGGGATCCACCTCCGTCCCAGCTCCTTTTGGCTTTCATGGATAGTTACCCAATCGCCAGTCACTAGCCAAGTGAATTTGCGGTCGAGATGAGGCTTTTTACTTCAGGTATAGTTTTTGCGGAGACTATCCAGAAATCCACGAGGTAAAAATCCTGTCAATTACTCTGCTGCTAGGAATTTGAAGGTAAGACGACATAGCCCAGCCCTGCGGAGACTGGTACAAACAAGGGTTTGGGATGTGGACATCTCGTTCGAACTCCACCCCCCATTATCCCGCATAATCCCGGCCTGGAGTCGGAGGATATTCTTCTTCCCCGTGGAGGAAAATCGCGGGGTAGAAATATAAGAGTTCTGCCCAATGTGAAGGCAGAAAGAGAAAATTCAAGAGGAATCTTCAATTCAATTTCTCGTCAGCGAAATCAATTCACTACACTATCATTTTCTTCCGTTACTATGGAGAGCAAAGGAATTGCTGGTGATGCAGGGGTTACACTGACCCCGGGAGACCGCTCCCAAGCCATTGCTGCTTTGGCTGAAGAGCAGCAGGGCTGGCTAGAGAAGAAGCTCAAGCCGAAGACCATGACCGCCCGCTATCCATTCACGGGGAAACCCTTGCTTTGGGCAACATGTGGATTTGGCAGCTTGGGTGATGCCCTTTTCGGTTACAATTCAGGTATGCCAAATCAAAAATGGACCAATGAATATATGCTGAATTTTTAGGTATTATGTCCGGTCTACTGGTGAATTCGGTCTTCATATCTCGCTTTTTCAAAGACTATGGGGGTGCCAATGGAAGCACGGATGGTGTAAACCCTTCGATCACCGGTATATCTGTCGCATGTCTGCAGGCTTCCGCAGCAGTAGGATCACTACTGGCAGGTCGACTAGGTGACATTATCGGCCGTAAGAAGTGTGTTCGCATTGGTGCCTTCATATATTTCTTCAGCGCGTTCATCCAAATGTTTGCACCTGGATTTGGTACCTTTGTGGCCGGTCGCACGATTCAAGGATTGGGCGTTGGGTTTTTATCAATGACCGTTCCTATCATTCAAACCGAGATTGCTGCACCCCATCGCCGAGGATTAATGGTGGGCATTGAGTACACATTCCTAATTGCTGGCTACATGCTGTCTTGCTGGGTTGACTATGGGTTCTTCTTCGCCTTGCCGAGTGATATGTCTTGGCAGGGTCCGTTCATCATTCAGATCATCCTGTCGTTCATTCTGCTTGCCGCGTCTTTCTTTCTCCCCGAAACGCCTCGTTGGCTTGCTATGAATGGTTTCAGCCAGGAGAGTCTGCAGACTATTGCCGATCTGCACTCTGATGGAGACACACAGGCAGAACATGTGCAAAAGGTCTACATGGAGATTCAAGAAGCAGTTATCTATGAGGCCCGTCAAGGAAAATCAACCTGGAAGGTATGTTTCCTAGCGCTTCTGCCCGCGAATATTTAGATCACTTACTCATGAATCTTGAACAGGAAATGTTCACACGCTATCGCAAGCGGACTATCGTGGGAATCACAGCCCAGATGTATGCCCAGATCAACGGAATCAACATCATTTCGTTTTATCTTCCGAGCACTCTAGCTTCTGCCGGATACAATGAGAAGAAGTCACTGCTGCTCACTGCCGCGAATTCACTGCCTTATACTGCTGCGACTGTTGCAACTTGGTGGCTGGCAGACCGATGGGGTCGAAAGCCACTGCTTCTTGTAGGAGGTAAGCTATAGTTTCATGCGGGTACTTACGACAAAAGGCTAATTCTGGAAACCAAAAAGGTCTCGGCATGGCTGTCCTCTTATCCATTGTCTGTGTGTTTAACGAAGCTCCCTTGAGCATTCAAATGAAGGCAAACGGCCAGTATGCCTTCGTCATGCTGTATAATATTCTCTACGGATTCACCTGGGGACCAATGCCTTGGCTCATCCCCGCGGAGATATTCCCACTTCGTGGACGCAGTAAAGGAATGGCCCTTGCTACGACAAGCAACTGGGTTTTCAACTTTATTATAGGCATGGTATCGCCGGACGCATTCGCCGGTATTCATGGGTATTTCTACCTCATCATCGCATTCTTCTGTCTGTCTTCGGCGGTAGTGTCGCATTTCTACTATGTCGAGACGGCCGATCATACCCTGGAGGAAATTGCTGTTGCCTTTGGCGAGAAGGCGTTTGCGAGCCCCGACAACGAGGTGATGGAAATTGCTCATGACGATTCTAAGTGTGACAAGGGGCAACATCTAGCCTGATGGATCCATCTCATCATGTCTCGCGCACAATTCTATATCTCTAGTTGGACTCATCTAAGACTGACTCATGCTATAATTTCAAGCTGCAGACTCTCAAAGAGTAATTGAATTTTTCAAGTTAATCAGATTTGGTAGAATCCTTTCCGATTCCAAAACGCAATATACTTTTTCAGTAGATCAGGTGTAAACGGTATAAAGTTGACCCCAGAGCTATCCCCAATAGCTCGCAAAGTGTTGGAGCAATCATACCGAGGGGAATATTGCCCTACTTCCCAACGTGTAAGTTGGCCTAACACTCGCTCTTGTAGGAGGGGAAGCAAAGGTGCCAAAGGCCCATCGGGCTTCTGGGTTCGAATAACCTGGTGTAGCCATTCATTATATGCCACCATCCGGACCGAATAGCCGGCTTCGTTTATAATGGCACAAGTTTCTTCGACTGTAGCTGAGAGGTTTTGATCAGGGGATAGATTGCAGCTGGAAGTCCTCTCTCCTGCATGCGCCGAACCATGCCATCGGCCGTCTACTGGCTCTGACCGTATCCGATATCATATCGCATAGCCTGAAGATGCGGTAAAAGTGGCCCGTTCTCAAGAAGCTGTCTCGTACCCGTAATGAAGCCCGTAGGCCCCATACATCAATACTGGACATATAATGCAAGGCACTGCGACGCCCCGTTGCAGCGAGTCTTAGCACATTGCGAGTCCCTAAAACATTATCGCGATAGTGTTGCTGGTATGTATCGCAAAAGTTGACCTTCGCGCCGATATGGAAGATGACACTAGCCCAATTGGCTAACCACTTGAAAGTCTCTTCGCCCAAGCTTAAATTATCATCTGCCATGTCACCCTCAAGTACCATGATCTTTTGCATGATACCGGGGGATGCTATTGAAAATAAATCGTATCGCTCCAATTCAGCATAGACGCGGGATTCTGCGGTTGAGTTTCCTTTCTTCCGGACGAGACATGCAACTTGTTTCACCCTTGGTCGATCCAATAGGTCTCTCAGCATATTGATTCCGACAAAGCCGGTCGCCCCAGTAATGAAGACTTTGCCTTCATCTTCAGACTCCCAGTCGATAACAAGTGACAGGTCGTCAACGAGATCAATATCTCTCTTACAGGTCATTGTATCATCTGGAATTTCTTGGTCTCTGAAATTTCTGAGATAAGGAAGCTTTTCCAGTTCTCCTAATTCTGAGTTATGATAGAGCTCATCCGTGGTAATGAGGTGCCCTGTTCGGTCGTAGATGGCGGTGATGAATGCAGCGGATTGTATAGAGCTGACACCCGATAAAAAGAAATCGTCTTGTTCGTGGACATGAGTCACTCCCAGGACATCCTTCCAAAGCTGGGCGAGAGACGAAATATTAGATGCACCCCTGCGGGCAATATTTGCCTGTTGTTGGCTCTGTATATGTGTCTTTCGGTCGCATGCCATCTTCGCTATTGGTGGTCGATCAACCTTCCCACGGTGAGTGAGTGGGAACGCAGATAGGAATTCGATGGTGTCTGGAACCATGAACGATGGGATATTCTCTTGCGCGAATACATTGATTTCTTCTCCTAATTCCGTTTCTTCCCCTCTGAAACTATGCATGGAATTAGACGCGATACCTCAGGGATAGAGTTGAGACATTGCTGGAACACCACAGCCTAATTGACTCTAGGGTTTTTCTGGAGCAACCTTTCCACTTCCTCGAGCTCCAATCGATATCCATTATGTTTGATTTGCAAGTCATGACGACCAATGAAGTCTAGGTGGTCGGGTTTATCGAACTGGTGATATCGCCCAATGGCGACAAGACAATTTAACCGAGCGGAATCCGCACTGCTTTTTGGGAGTAGATAGGAAGCAAATGGCTTTATCTTCTCGACATTGCCTCGTCCTAGTGACATTATTCTCCACGACAGCCTAGTTCATGCTAGCATACATGATGGAATCCGTCAAAGTCGGGCATCTTTAGTGCGTGATTTCAAACACAATGACCCCATTTCACTAAATACAGTTCTATCGGAGATAATAAAAGGTGATCCTAGCGTTCGACAAGGCATGAAGACGGTTTTTGTCTCTATTGAGTCAATATACAGTATTGATGGTGACATAGCCCCAGCTAAAGAAATCGTGAAGTGCGTCAAAGATAGTTTACCTCAGAGGAACATGGTATTCGTGATAGATGAAGCACACTCGAATGGGATAATTGGCTCGCAAGGTCGAGGTCTGATCTCATCTCTTGGCCTTGAACCCGAATTCGCAGTTCGCCTACATACCTTTGGGAAAGGGATTAATGCATCAGGAGGTTCAGTCTATCTGGAAGCGTTCTTTCATACGGCAGAGCGATGTGAAAGCTTACAGCCTTTTCCAGCAGCTGTTTTATGTCCACAATTGGTCAAAGAAACTATCATAAACTATGCTCGGGGCTCTCTATTTACTACCGAACCAACTCTCCTATCACTGGCCGCCGTGAGAGCCTCATACAATATCGTCACAGGATGCGAAGGAGATCAGGTGAGAGCATATCGAAGCCATTTTGCAGACATTTTATCTAACATCTGTTGTACAACAAGAGGCGAGAGAGACTTCAGGCGCGAGCTCGCTATATGTACCAATCTTTTACCAAACACCACCTGTGGTCAGATGCGTGCGGTACGGGCCGACTCAGGAACACTGGGTCGGTTGCGCTGATAGAGGTATGGGAGGCAGCCCAAGACAACAACTGGCTCCCTTATAGATTTTCCCGCAATTCACTCACCTCCCTCAACTTTCACATTGCCCCCACCCTTCAACATTCAACATGTGTTGGCACAGGTGGATTCCAGTCACTCCCGAAGGGTGCAAGGCCTCAAATCCTCATATGGTGATGCACAAGGAGACAATCTACTGCAACACTGTGATTGACACGGCTATCAAACTATCCCAGCCGGATAGCCATCCTAACGATGTCGAGAAAGATGGGCAATGGCGCACCGGCAGCCGCGTCAAATTCGACGTTTGCCCCGATGAGAACAACAAAATATTTGACTCGTTCAACCGCAGTATCGAGGTCAAGCCTCTCCAGATGGTCAATATCCGCTGCCCGTGCTGTACGGGTGAAATATCGACAGTCGATGCATTGCTGGTAGGTTAAGTTCCCAGGATCATGAAGTATTGGAGATAAGTGACAAGACATGAGGGGAAGCTGACCTTGTGATCATCTACAATTAGACCGATCCCAATTTCCAATCCTCCTATGCTGTCCTCCCAAATGGTCGACAGCTTCGCATCCCCAACGTCACAGAGGGACTTGACGACTACCTATGCCAACCTCTAGATGTGCCACTTCTCAAACTCAGAATCAGCAAGACGAAGATACATGAGGTCGAGGATAGTCTCTTCGACAGCGACTCAATTCAAGACGAGCATAACAGCGAAACATGCCTACAGTGCCAGTATCCCCTGGCTTGCCCCCCACCGCTATTATCCAGAAGTCTGATGGACGCCGACATAAGCATCTCTACATTTCGCAGAAGGATCAAATCGCAAGCCCGCAATCCCCAGATCTGGCAAATGACTCCGCAGGGGGTAGCTTCCGGCATGATGACTCCCGTCTATCGCAGAACCGATGGGGACAATGAGGCGGATTACTGTGACGAGGAGGACGAGTTTGAGATTCCCGACTTCGGATGTGTCGGGTTGAGATTTCCAGTTACCAAGACTGTAAGGCCTCCGTTTGTGAGTCCTATTCACGGACTGATTCAAAAGCTGGATGATGAGCGGCCGGACATCCACCAGGGGGCCTAAGATCTCTGCTATCATTGCTCTCGGTTCCGAGTTCGGGGGTACCCTCATCTTTTCTCAGATGGTTTCACCATTTAGACGAAAGGATAATAGGAGCCAATCCAAATGGAAATTAAATTTCATAAATTTTGGACAAATGGGGTCTCATCTAGTAAAGTATGTAGTATGTACAGTCAGAAAGAAAGGTCGTGGTAAAAAGGACAGTGTTGGTGATAGCCTCCCATAAGCCATCTTCAAAAAATGTGAAGAAAAAAAAAGGAAAGTGTCGTAGAAGTTTAGCGATAAGCTGGTTCATGAGTCACTGTGATCGTTGTATGCTGATACACATGGTCGACGTTGGCAAGTTCAACATCGCCGCCCGGCACAATTGCTTCGGTAGAGTCATTGCCAGTATGGGCAGCGCAGACCGTCGAGATGGGTCCCTTATCGTTCGACTTCTGCGAGAAACCTCCAGCGGTTCCAAAGCGTGATTTCTTGTGGCTTGAAAGGTCGTGGTAACCATCCTCTCGTTTCGATTCGATCTCCGATTCCAAAACGATACTCTTGCGGGTCAGAGTGTATTGGAGAGTGTCGCAGAATCCAGACAGTGTCATTAAAGCACCAGCAACGCAGAAATAGGCCACACTCGGTGAGTGGCCACTAACGGATGCCATGCGCCCGGCAGACAACGGCAGTGTCAAGGCGATATATGCGATCGGGTACAGGACCATGTATGAAACGACTCGGTTCAGGCGCTTGAGACTTTCCGTGTAGCTGCTTCCCAGAATCTTGGATTGAGAGATCTTGCGTCGGAGTTGAAAGAACATAATGGCGTATAAAACGAGGTTCAGGAATTGAGCGGTGAAAATCCAGATATAATGAGTCCAAAGACGGAGTACGGGGTGCTGCGTGGTCATCCAACACTGCGAGCAAAGAAATGTCAGCAATAATTCCTCGAAATTACTAGGTCCAGGAGCGAGGGAAAAACCATACCCATCCCACAGAAGGCATCCATACGTGGGATCCGTGGGCAGCGATCGGAATGATAACCAAGATCACTCCAAATATCCACAACCCGACCACGATGGATACAAAGACGCGGTGGCTAACCTGTCGACCGAAGCTGACCTGCAAAAATGTGTGCAAAGCGATTGCGAGCACGAAAACTCCACTCATAGGATCACCGATCTGAAGCCAAATTCCCTGCAAGAAACATCCCGGGTCCTCGGCATGAATGGAGTTCTGGTCGATCCATCGCAGACTGACAATGAATCCCAATCCTTGAATGAAATCAGCGAGGGCGAGATTGTACATGAGAACGACATATTGGTTGTATCCAATGTAGCGTTTGTAGTACTTTTTCCAGAAGATGAAACGATAGGTGAAGAAACACAAAAGACTGAATGTGGAAATGAGAAGAAATCATCGCCAACGAGGCAATGGCGATGAGACCGCCCCTCTGCAGCGAGGGCAATGGATCGATGATCCATGAGCCAGCTGCTGAGTTGGCGGAGTTGGCGTCCACACTGCTTGCCGAGTCATATTCGCGGCGATTCAGCGGGCTCATGGGAGGAGGATTCCGCGTCATCAACCATTGTACGATTAAGCTCGACATGACAGCTGTGAATAAGTGGTTGAAAGGATCGACCCGAAAAAAAGCATCTCTGCATCCAGGGGACCGGTCTGAAAAGATCCTCGGATCTTTATATGGAACGCTTCATGTTTGGGGAGTGGTCTCGATCAGCCCCTGAGGGTGTTGGTCCATTCATTTGCCCCACGTCCAGGTACGGGTATGAAAATCAGGCAAACTCTTTCGAACTAGAGTTCAACGCGGGAGAAGTCGAAGCTGGTTTTCTTGCTGTCTGGGCACTAAAATGATGGTGGCAAAAATTGATGTACCCGTGCTAGCTCCGCGGCCCCTCTAATAGTGGAGTTTCTGGAACTCTAGAAGGTAAGTTAGTGTCGCTAGTTTATCAAGTTGAGGGTTGCCCCTCTAAAACCCAGCCTATCGCACGCATAACATTCGCACAGCGTCACAGCCAAGAGATCTGCGAAGGATTCCCACGCGGCGCCGATCAAGGAAGCCATTCACAACCAAGCAAGACCCATTAGTCCGAGACCGTCCTTGGCATATGGAGTATAGACCACTCTGGTTACAATCCACCGGCCGATAATGTAGTTCCCGGGTTCAGGATGCTAACAGTGGGTTTGCAAAAGTCGACCAAGCCATGTGTTGTGGTACCTTAGCCCATTTTTCGGGACGCGATTACCGCGCTAGAGCTTCCGATCGACCTGATCGGGTCAATGACTTCCTAATTTAAAGAAGGTAAAGTATGGTTCAGTGGACACTGTCCTTGACTTAGGTCGCGAAAACCTGGAGGGTGGCCAGGGCTGTGTGGGCGGATTCACCGCGATGCAACGTGCACTTGGTACGAGCGCACCTAGACAGTGGGACCGGTTTGTTTGTCTCAACTTTGGGGAGGCTGGAGAGTTTAAATTGTCGCGTGCTTTTGCAATTTTTCTCAATACCCAGATAAGTCTGCGCCGTGCTGTTATAACTTATCGGTATTTGGAATCGATGGAGATGGAGATGGAAATGGAAATGGAGATGGAGATGGGGATGGGGATGGGATTGAGATTGAGCGGAGATCGGTTAGTCGCCTCGAGTTCGGCAAACAGTCGCCATGCATTGCCGCCTTGTGGGGGATGCAGCTTGACATTCTCAGTTTCTGGTGTCTGTATGTAAATTCGGAAAGGGGTGCGCGCAGTCTCGATCCACCAGCTCGATCTGGTGTGATGGTAGTCGAATTCGTGGTAATGGTGGTGGCATCCGCAACCCTGTGAAGAGACTATTGTATCAGAACCAGAACATGATGCTCATCCGGCGAGCCTCTTCACTTTGACTTGTCTTAGCTGGTCTTGACCTGTCTTAAATGCCGATTTTTTGAGGTTGAGCAAAGAAGAAGTATGTTTTGCACGATCTGCAGTATAACTTGTTAGGTGTGAACCATGGTAAGCTGCGACCAAACGGGTAAATGCGTACCTTAGGTAAATATCCGAAAATTTCATACTAAGAATACTGTTATATCTCTTGTACACTACGCTCAATATACTGGAAACAGGAAAAGTAAATTTCTAGACAATATCATAAGTGTAGTAGAGACAAGATCGTTCATTGATTCCGTCGTCAAAGATTCATGGAAGAGAGAAAAGACAGCAAACAAGGGAGGAAACGGTATAAAGCTCTCAAATTTGGAAAAAAAAGGATAACAAAACCACGCAAACGAATCCAAATTCCCAGCATGGTGAACATGAACTCCTTTCACCAAGGTAGCAGCAGCAGCAGATCAGGAGAAAGAAACCCCCCCGCTAGGCCAGACAAGATCTAAAACAATCCAGACTCGGGCAAAATCACGAATGAAAGTTCCTCTTGCTCCCCACTCGATTCAACTAGACTCAGGAGAGAAATGGTAAAGGGCAAGGTGTCAATGCGAAAGTACGAAGTCTCCATTTCGTTGCAAACAAAGAAGATGTGGTCGATTCCCAACTCCACCAACGCGATCAATCCAATCATACATTCGGCTCGTCATCGGACCCAACAAAGAGAAAGAGATCCGGTCCCCTTTTTACTGCACCTGGCTGACGATCTCACTAGCGCGACCCAAGCTCTCCACCATTTGCTGGCACTCCTTTCGTCGGCGGATCGTGTAATCACTCTCCTTGAGCAAGTCATCCAACTCGTTGTTGCGGTACATGTTCTCCAACAGCTCGCGTTGCATCTCGTCCTTGGTGAACCTGGATGGTGGTTAAATTGGATGAAGGTAGGATATCAAGAGACGAATACTTACTGCACCAGTGTGTACATAACAGCCTTGGGGACCATGTCGATCATCGTGCGCTTCACGATGTTGAAGTAAGAGGTAATGAGCAGCTCTGTTTAGGGGAGTTAGTCAACTGATGGCGGACGTTAGGCTTCGAGAAGAACTTACTGATAACCTCAACCTCAGTAGCCTCCCGCTCCGACAGACTGGCAGATGCCTTAAGGGTAGGTGGGGGAGCCTCCATGGCGGCCATCTTCTTCTTGTTCTTCGAGGCCCAGAAGCTGCCAAAGAATCCACTTTCCTTGGCCTCGCCAGTGGTATCCAAAGATGGGCTTTGGGCGCGGGCGGGCAGAGGCTTGCCGGTCTTGGGGTCAACCTGTGTGGGTTTGGCGGCTGACTGGCGCTCGTTCACGAGAGTCATGGCCTGTGCAAGTCAGTGAGGCTGCCAAGCTAAATAACTCATTCGAATATACTTACCCGGTGTCCATTGAGGAAGTCGGGGTGACCAGTGTTAATGTAGGTGGCCTCCATGTTGATCAAGTCCCTGACCAACTTGTTGGAGGGATCCATGCACTTCTTGAAGAAGGCGATAACCACAGCGTGGAACTTCTCCTTCAGCATCGGGTAGCGGCGGAACAGTTGCTTGTTGAGCAGTTGACCTAGGATACGCACCAGCTCATCGTATACCAGGGCGATACACTTCGTGCTGGGGTCCTCCAAGCGCTTGATCTGCTGCTTCACAATCAATTCGAAGGCGGTAGTACCGACGAACAGGGCGGGGAAGAACCCGACGAGTTATAGAGAATTGTGCGAATGTCAATATCCTTGACAATATCAAAGGGGTCCACGGCCTTGACACCGTTGGAGTAGAGCTCGTGGAACACAAAGCTGATACGAGCACCACCAGACAGCTCAATGCTGGACAGTTCCGTGTTGTTTCCTTCCAATACAGTGCGGTATTCATTGCTGAACTCGGTGATGATGTTAAGGATAATGTTGGCGCTGTTGCCCAGCATCGAATCGCCGAGTTGAGAAAGTTCCGACGTGTATTTCTGGAGAGAAGAAGAGATGCGAGCCTTGATATCGGGAAGGGTTTGCTTGATGTGCATCATCAAGATCTAAAGCGAAGTCCTGTTAGTCTGTGATTGCGGCCATCCTCTATTACCATGACCAAACATACCAGGTTCAATTTCCGGGCTAGGTACGGAGTACCGCAGTATGAAGCCTTATTCCTGTAGGCCTTGTGGTTCTCAAAAAAGTTCTTCTCGTTCTCCAGGGCGTAGGCAATCGGCTTCTTGTTCTCAATGTCACGCTGACCACGGTTGACGACCGGAACGTAGCCCAGACGCAGGGGAATAATCCGTCCAGCGAGAATATCCACAACGTCGGTTCCCTCATCCATCAGATCGACCTTACTCAAGACACCGATGGTGCGTTGTCCCTCGGGGTCCACCTCGCGTGCCAGCTTGAGACCGTCGGAATTGGCGAGATCCTGGTTGGCCGAGGTGACGGCGAGAATGATGGCATTGGGTTTGCTGATGTACTTGAGAACCATGTCCTTAATTTGCTTCTCAATGTCCTTAGGCTGGTCACCGACGGGAACCTTGGTCAAACCGGGCAAATCGACGAGGGTCAGGGTGAGGACATTGGGCGAGTAGATGCGCAAATTGATCGGAATGGGCGAGATGCCGGCGTTCTTGCCAACCTTGGTCTCAGTTTCGCGGACGATCTCATCGCGGATCTTGTTGAAATCGAAGAACTTCTCCCCGGGCAGGTGCAGGAATTCACCGTACTCGTCAACGTTGGCCTCGCTATCGGATGTGTCCAACTTCTTGTCGCCGTTCGCTTGTGCGCTGGCTGGCTTGTTGATGAGTTGCAGGATGAGAGGTCTCCGGGTCACAATTCCAGAGCCACGGGGCAGGCTAAAGCAGGCAGAAACGTTGAGGTTAGCATTGGCTGGCTTGACGATAATGTTTGGGGGGGGTCCCCGCCACCGTTGCGGGGAGCTTGCGGCGCAAGGCCCTAGGAGGTTTGTTTGAGGAGCGCATACAAATCCCGGCCGACAATGTTCTCTAGTACTGAACTCTTTCCGCTGGACTGCGATCCAACGACAGCGATTTGTGGCAAGTCGATGGGGTTGTGAACCTAAATGAAAGCGGCGGTGTCAGTCGTTGGGTACGAAGAGACCACGAATGCCGCATATAAAGTATACGATGAGGGTAGGGCACTTCAACTTACGCCGACTGTAGAGAAGACATCTTGGAGCTTGTTGACCAGCGAGATCAAGCTGGGATCATTAACGTTTATGCTGCGCACGAATTAGCTGGGGCCTTATCGGAGATGGTGGGTGACAGGGGGGGTGAGGGGGCGGTTGCGCACGAGTGGCCAGTTGGGCTTGCCATGGCTGGCGATTATGTGAAGTATTCCGGGTCGTAGAGGGAGAAAGGTAAACTTAAAACGAAAGAGAAGTAAAAGCAGGAACTTGGGGGGGGAGAAGGGGAGCTTGAGGAATGGAAGCGGCAGACTGTTTGTTGGCGAAGTGAAGGCGGTGATGACGGTGGCGGGCCGCGCAGGACACAAGCGCAAGCACGGGTAGGCATCCACGGGGGAAGGTCTCGTGGCTGTGGATTATACTTGATGCCTACAGATCTAGATTACTTGGTCTATCACATTAAGTCAACCTCCCCAAAGAAGAAATCTTATTGAACATAACTACAGGGTAATGTGTGCTGGTAACAAAAAGCCGGAAATAAAGTGTGGAAATGCAAAAAGCGACGGATTCATGTCCAGATGCCAATCTACTCATCCGAGACCGAAGCGAATCGTTCTGTCATGGACTGCAGAATCTTCTCGTACTTGGCCGACACCTCCTGCTCGTCGTCGGGGACCTCGAACTTCATGCTCCGTAGCGAACTCTGCAGGTCGGTCGTGGCATCGCGGACCTTGTTCCAGCTTTGGCCCTGGGCGATGGCCTTCTGTGCCTCGTCGTGATAGCCCATGAAGGCCTTCATCATATACTCAGTCTTCCACAGCGGGCAGAACTGATCGTAGTCACTGTATCCGTTTTGCTGAAGGAAATCCTCCTTGAGCATGGCGGCCAAATCCAAAGTAATCTTATCCGAGTCACCCAGTGCCGCCTTACCAATCAACTGGACGACTTGGTCCAGATCCTCGGACTTGGACAGCAGCTCACGGATCTGATCACGCAGGCGAGGGAAGTCGGGGTTGTGCTTCTCGTAATACTTGTCCAGGACGGCGTTGTATTTGCTGTAGGACATGGAAGTATTGACCGAAGGGAAGTGCTTACGCTGGGCCAGCTTCTTATCAAGACCCCAGAAGACTTGAACAATACCCAGGGTACTGCTAGTGACGGGATCGGAGAAATCACCACCGGGAGGGCTGACAGCACCGACGATACTGACACTTCCTTCGCGCTCAGGGCTACCCAAAGCATTGGTCTTACCGGCACGCTCGTAGAAAGAGGCCAGCTTGGCACCCAGGTAGGCGGGGAAACCCTGATCAGCAGGCATTTCTCCCAGACGACCCGAAAGCTCACGCAGAGCCTCGGCCCAGCGAGAACTGGAGTCAGCCATCATGGCGACGTTCTTGCCCTGGTCACGGAAGTATTCGGCAATAGTGATACCAGTGTAGATGGAGGCCTCACGGGCAGCGACGGGCATGTTGGAGGTGTTGGCGATTAGGCAGGTACGCTTCATGATAGGCTCCTTGCGGCCATCGACATTGATGGAAAGCTATGGTACAGGGTACTGGTCAGCGTATCATTCGGTGATGCATTCAATGATCTTTCAATGCGGATATAACAACATACCTCGGGGAAATCCATCAAAACCTCAGCCATCTCGTTACCACGCTCACCGCAACCAACGTAGACGATGATATCACTGTTCGAGAACTTGGACACGGACTGGGAAATGACAGTCTTACCGCATCCGAAAGCACCGGGAATACACACGGTACCACCCTGGACACTAGGGAACAGAGCGTCCAACACTCGTTGACCAACAATGAAAGGCGCATCGGCGGACAGCTTGTCGCTAGTGGGACGAGGCACACGAACGGGCCAGGTCTGCATCAGGCCAAACTCGGTCTTCTTGCCCTCAAACTCGACCTCCAAAAGCTTCTCCTCGACAGTATGGCTGCCTGCGGGGGCAATGCGGGTAATGGTACCGCGAGCGCGGGCGGCAGGAGGATTTTGTGGTCGTTCACCAGACTGTTCTCGAACACGGTACCCCAGATATCACCACCGGTGATGTGGTCACCGACCTTGAAGCCGGCGGGCTTATAGTCCCATTTCTTCGAGCGGTCCAGCGCATTGACGGAGATACCACGGGGAATATAGATGCCCTCTGACTTCTCGGCGATGGCACGGAGGGGTCGTTGGATACCGTCGTAGATTGTCTCCATCAGACCAGGGCCGAGTTCGACGGAGAGAGGCTTGCCAGTCCGTGAGACAGGGTCGCCAACTGTCAGACCAGCTGTAGAAGAAAACCCGGAGCCGTTAGCATTGTGTTCGAGAGGTGTTCGATCGATGGCATACGTGGCCCAGGGAAGGGGGAGCTATACCGGTTTCCTCGTAGACCTGAATGGTAGCCTTGTCCTGATCAATTCGAATAATCTCACCGGACAGGAGGTCATGTCCGACTTGACACTAAAGCGAGCGGGGAGGTCAGTATCTCTACGGTCAGACATTCCGGGGCGATCTGTCGGGGGGGAGCTCTCTGGGATCTTACCAGCTCGTACATGGCACAGCCGATCATGTTCTCGGCCACCACGACGGGACCGGAAATGGAGAAGATGGAGCCATGCTCCTGAGTATCCTTAGCAACCATCGTGGAGGTGATTTGTGGAGAGGTGGGCAAGGAGATGGAGGTGGTCGAGCTGGCTGGAGCGGGCGAGTCTGGAAGCGGTGGCAGCTCGGGCGGTGGAGACGAAGTCGGAGTGGATGGTGGTGACTCGGATGGTATTGACAGTGCTGACACTGGCACTGGCACTGGCACTGGCGACACTTGACTCTCGGGTCTGCTAATGAGATCAAGCAGGGACGGCCGTGCTTTCAATCGAGGCCTTCCCAATCCTAGCATTCGCTATGGTGTTGGAAATTAAGGGTAGGTGTATGTAATAACTAACTAGCATATGAGGACAAGAGTGCGCCGACTAATACTCGTGGACCCCCCTTAAGCTGACATCCAATCGATAAATGCCGGGGAATTGGCGCCCGCGATCGGCCATATTTTTGGGTGAAAGGACAGGGGTCCAATATCTCATTGGTTGAAGGACGAAATTCATGACCTTGAGGAGGCTTTGTCTACTAGTTAGACACTCTACAATCTACTAGCTAGCATGGAGTAACTATGGAGTACATTCCTGGTAAGATTATCCCCCCACGTTTAACCCCGCCTATATTTACCAGTAGGCCACCGAGAAGCAAAGGTAAATCTTCCTATAGAATACTACTAGTAGTAAATATTTATTCGGTAGCTTTGCGCCATGCAGGCATGATAAGGAACTTGAACTTGAATTTATTACACAATACTTTGCAGCGACCAACATTCTAATCCTGCAGGTACCCGGCCTCCAGGCTGGAATCGACTGCCACAATACTAGTATGTCTCTCGCTCATCGACTAACAAAAACTGACAGCTCACTTGGAATTATGTATTATCGCACTAATCCAAAGACCAAGGAGTGTTTAAAGCACAAATAAGCATAAAACTTGCTATGTAACCCAGGCCGCATGTGATGCCTTAACAGTTGTATGACAGCCGCCAACTCAATAAGGTATACACGATGTTCGCCTTGTGACAGCTCCTCGTGGGACCACTCAACCAATCATCAAGGATACCGCATACACCGAGATCCTAGAGTACATCAGATTACTGAACGTGTAGCCAAACAGATTCAGCACAGCGGGAGGTACCTAGTATCGATCTGCGGGTTCACATGCGATGCCCTAACCCCCGCTCGCTTTACCCCGGACCACGGACCACGGTTGAGATGAGTTGACAGCTTGCCACAACGGTCATGAGCAACTCCCGTGGCTTCAAGTTTCATTATATATCTGAAAGAAAAATGCCCAACAGAAGCAGAAATGCATCTAGCATATCCCGTTCTCTGAAATCGTGCACCATACTACCCGTGTCAATATCAGGATGGCCTTGAAAAGTCCCCAACATGGGAACAGTACCGAGTGCCATTACTGGGGCTACTCCTTTCACTGGACCGACCTCCATCGCTCAGAGGACGAGCTACGACCCCTCGTTCACACGTTTGATAAACTTGCCGATGAGTGTGTGCAGCGCTTGAATGAAATCCCAACCGAGGGGGATTCGGACAAGCCTTTCAGGAAGGATTTATACTCTCTGCTAAAGAACCACGCAACAGAGGATCCCAAGCTACAGGAACTGTGGACGCAGATAAACGCTGTACCCGAATGGGTTGATTGGCAGCAGATACAGCGAGGCCAGGATGTATTCTTTCGATATGGTCTTCCAGTCTTGAACGTGGTGAGTGGGAACTATACAATAGTCCTTTGACATGCAATCCAGTACTGACAACCCTCTCACCCTTCTAGCTCAGTTTTGAAAGTCTTCTCGGTGGCATGTACGTATAAGACTCATGGCTTCCCATGCTATATATTCTCCATTCTAACCTGTGGACCCGTATATAGGGGCGCAATCCGAGTCGTCGAAACTCTCGCTCGAACCGGTGGTTTCGGAGCCAAAGTGGTCCGCCGCCGCCTCTTAGAAACCCTCCAACATATTCTACAAGTGAATAGTTCAGCAGACGGAATGAAACCAGGAGGCGAAGGGCACATCTCATCTGTCCGCGTCCGACTCCTCCATTCCTCCGTCCGTCTGAAGATCATGGGTCTGGTGGAACAAAAGTCCGATTACTATGATGTCGACAAGTACGGTATCCCAGTCAACGACTTGGACTGTATCGGCACCATAAATACATTTTGCAGTTCAGTCGTCTACATGGGGCTACCACGTCAAGGGATCTTTCCCAGCACGCAGGAGATAGAGGACTACATCGCTCTCTGGCGATTAGTCGCATATTACATGGGTACCCCAACAGAGCCGTTTGAAGACCCGGCCCGAGCACGCGCAACGATGGAATCACTCTTGATCTCGGAAATCAACCCTACTGAGATTGGAAAGGTACTGGCCAAAAACATCATCATTGGTCTGGAGAATACGGCGCCGGCTTATGCCTCCAAGGAATTTATGGAGGCACTGAGCCGGCTGCTGAACGGCGATTTGCTTTCGGATGAACTAGAGATCCCCAAATCAAGTCTTTACTACCGTTTAATGGTCTGGGGCTATTGTTTCTGGGTCTCGGGGGTAGCGTTCGTTATTCCAAAGATTTATTTCCTTGACAGATTGGCAATCTCGGTAAGTACTTTCTTTCTCTATTTTACCCCTGCTGGGCTGCACTTTACTTCAAGTCCTGCAGGGAAAACAACATATTGCTGATATTTGACATTGCCCACCAGCTCCGTCGTAAATTCTTCTATTCAATGTTACTTGATGAGAAAATGGGATTGGGAGGGGAATCTCGTTTTGAATTCAAGTATGTGCCTACTCTTACCCGCACCACTCGACTGGGCCAGCGGCGGAGCACCAAGTTCAAAAGACCAGGCGTAGAAAGCGTGGCGAGGCTGGGCTTGCTTGCTGCGCTGACTGGGGTTGTTACACTTCTTCTGAGTCTTCTATTTGCGGTAAGAGTGTTTTCGGCGAATCATCTCTTTCAGATTGTGGGGGTATAGCGCGCATGCTTTTGTGGGGGTCTTTTTTGGGCTTCTTTTGACGATCATGATGCCCTTGATGAGATAGTCAATTATGTTAGAAAAGATCTATAGTTTTTAAACCTTACAACATAATAAAAATCCGTCTCTCTCCGTCGGGTCTTCCCCAAAGGTCAAGAAGGCCCGATAACTGCTCGGCTGCCCATTGCATCGCTGGCGTCGCCACATTGGCCCATTGAAATTTTAGGAGAGAAGCCGGTAGCTTGATCTGGATGCCCATTTATCATCCGATTCTGCTGTGTGCTGTTGGGTGCTTTGTTGGGTTTGTTCGCCGAGATGTGGATGGTTTATACCAGCTTCCCCATGTGGCTGGCGACCGATACATGAAGGATAGGGTTGTATTCATCGATATTCATTCAAGTTGCTTGGCTCCTATCGAAAAGAAGGAAATCTAGGAGCAGGAAAAAGGAAAAGAAGCAAAAGGTAGATGAGAGAGCGGAGTTAGGCTGAGTCTGGTTTGGGCCGCAGTTCTGTTGAGGTCATGACGGCGATCTTTCTGATCTTGTTAGGAGTGTGATCGATGCTGAAGATTTCACTATCAAATTCAATGTCCAAAGAATATTAGTTCACCACGAATATGTAGTTCTATGGTACTGTGGTTTATCCTGGTGCCCATGTAGGATGGCGGAGTGGGCGTAGGCGACCGAGGTCAAGTCGGTGATGGCGAAGAGACTGAGGAGTATTTCAATAAATTTCGATTTGAATCAGGTATGGCCAGAGCCCAATAATGTATGTGCTGTCACTGTGTGATTCACCATGTGAGGCGGTGGGCAACAGTCGATCGGGCCATGCATGACGTCTACACTAGACTGGGGGACGCGAGGGGAAATCTCAAATCTCCCTGTCGCCTCGAGAATTTCCCACCTCAGGTCGAACTGGTCATTGGTCATTGGTCATTGAAGTGATTCAAATTTTAACATTTTGAATATTTTAAACTAAGGACAAAACATAAAGCTAGTTGAGGTAGAGACAAGTAGGACAGCATCGTATCTCGTGAAACATCTAATTCCACAGTCGCCCCAAATCTTTGGTGATAGACTTTAGCGCGTAATCAGTGGCTTGGAATGCTCCCTCGTTCGCATGGTTTACTTCTAGAAATAGCACACACTGCTGTCAGCTTGATGATTCGGTTCTCTCCCAGAGGAGTCACATACTCCGCATCCCTTGCAGGAACAGGTGTCGTCGCAAGTACAACCCTGGGCACCGGTACAGGTGCAAGTCGCTCCACAGCCACAGCCCATGATGGAAGAGTAGTAGATTGAAAGAGGCTAGAGGTTGAAATAGAAGTGATAATAGGAAGGGGTCCTTGATTGCGTGATAACTGCGATGGATGAGGAGATGAAGGAGTCAAGAAATGGGACTTCTTCATTTATATCGACGCACCGGGTAGGACGGACATCATGATGGCGTCAGTGGGGGAGGGCGGACGAGAGGAAACGTGAACCTTAAAAAGAAGGAATGGATTGGATTTATGAACTTGAATAGGTGAAATTAGAAAAGAGAGATATTAGTAGAGATGCTAGCATACTATTTGTAGTAAGACTATGGAGAAGAGTGTTCTATAGATCGGGTGAGGTATTACAGTAGAAGTAGTATGTATTATGATTGATCTTCCCTCAAGGTCCTTGATTACAGTAGAATAAGGATAACCTTGGAAATAATAATAAAAGGAAATCATGAATAAGGATAGCTAAATCAGGGAACCTTTTACTTTGACTCGAGAACATCCCATCCTCATCTCCACAATCGGCAGTTAACTATCTTACCCTACGGTAGTAACTAGCAATCCTCAAGACCATCCCATGACATATCATTCCATATTACCCTCCTCCCTCAGATGTGAACTCTTCCACTTGTCTACCCTATGTTATTTGGGGGGGACAATGACCAGTGATTTCTACATCTTGTGACGCCCTCGAACCCACTATTTCTTGCTCCAATCCAATCAACCTGCTCCTAGGCTCTCTCCAGTCTCCCATCACCGATAAGCACCTGGCACCTCCGCCCGAGCAGTCACACTCACCCTACACTTACTACTACTGCTGCTGCTACTGCTACTGCTACTGCTACTACTCTCACACTACCTCATCACTCCCTCCCTCTCACCACCCACGGAGAACCTTGGACGGAACTTACTCCTGAACACATCGCCTGGTCTACCATCATCCCCCTCTCCACCTCTACTTCCTCCACCTCCATCCCTATCGAGAGTGCTAGACACCTAAAGCTCCTCCGCTTTCTCCCTGCAGCTTTGAAATCCCCGCGGTAGGTCTGCTCACCTGGTTCTCCCAAAAAGAGCCAGGGAACTGGGCAGATCGCATCTATCGACCTGGCCAACAATCCTCCTTCCCAACCTCTCGCCTCCGACCACCCTGACCTTCTTTTCCCATTCGAAATCGATCCCACCTCCTCCGCCGGTCCCGAACCGTCCTCTAACTCCCCATCTGCCTCCTCTCCGCTCTCTCGTACTCCAGCCCCAGCTTTAGTTCCAGCTCCAGCTCCAGCTCCCGCTCCCGCTCGCCCAGAAAATCCTCGGCGTCGTCGGCTTCCTTCGAGTAGCCCTGAAATCCCCGCTTCCGCGGCCGCGAGAACGAGATCCAGTACAAGAACCACTGGGGCAGCTGCGCCCCAGTTCGACTCCATTCACAACTCTGGCCGTGACCACGAAGGCCACTCTCCCTCCCGCAAACGCAGGCGTTTGGCAGTCATGCGTGCTGATACTCTCTCCTCCACAAATGGCTTTTCACAGGCCTCGAATGGCTCCACTCCGAGGAAAGCCAGTTTGAACGGCCAGTCCAGCAATGGCGACTCACATACGAACGGGACCTCCAAGTCTCTGGCTAGTGGCTCGTCGTACTACGGTCATGATCGGGAGGAGGTCACGCGGATTTTGATACAGAGTCTCTACGAGTTGGGTTATGACGGAGCAGCTTCGACGTTGAGTTCGGAGAGTGGCCATCAGCTGGAGACGCAGGGCGTTGCCACATTCAGGAGTGCCGTGCTTGGTGGTCGGTGGTCCGAAGCAGAGAAGATCCTCATACAATCATTCCGCTGGGATGGGTCGCAAAACGGTCACAAATCCTCGCCGCAACAACCATTATTGTTAAATGAAACGGCAGAGCGGAATGAAATGTTATTCCATCTCCGTCAACAGAAGTTCCTGGAGCTCCTCGAATCTCGCGATCTTGGTTCGGCGCTAGGTGTCTTGAGGCAGGAACTAACACCATTGAATTACGATATCGATCGTCTCCATGCTCTATCTAGTCTTTTGATGTGCCCCACGGAGTTGCTCCACGAGCAGGCCGGCTGGGAGCGCCCCATCAGTGCATCCCGAGAACGGCTCCTCAACGAATTATCCAGTAGGAGACACCTCTTCCATCACCATTTACCTATGAACCCCTGGCTCACAGATAATAGAATCCATTTCCCCCTCCGTTATGATACCCCAGCACCGGCTCGCAACCCTTTTAGATTTTGTGAAGAAGACCCAAATCAGCAACTGTTTATATCATAATACTGTCGAGTCGCCTTCACTCTACTCAGATCACATGTGTGACAAGAATGACTTCCCACGCGGTATAGGTCTTGACCTTACCCATCATTCAGATGAAGTCTGGTGCTGCGAGTTCTCGCATGATGGTACCAAGCTGGTCACTTCAGGCAAGGACCGCATGGTATTCATCTACGATACGTCAAATTTCTCGGTGATCTCAAAATTGGCCGAGAATCACACCGACGGAGTGGCTTTTGCAAGCTGGAGCCCAGATGACTCAAAACTAATCACATGCTCACAAGACAAGCAAGCCCGAGTATGGAATGTCGAGGTGAGTATTTTCAAAATTGGAAGTTTTGGCTTGGGAAACTCGAGGATTACTGACGTCGGTCACAGACTGGACGTTGCCTTCTTACAATTGATCACCATAATGAGCCAGTAACTGCGGCCGGCTGGGCTCCGGATGGAGAGTCCTTTGTGACTGGGTCACTCGATGCAAACTCACAGCTCTGCCTTTGGAGCATTCGCGGTCCATCTATATACAGATGGAAAGGATCGTTCCGCGTACAGGATTGCGCGATCAGTCCTGACGGAAAGCGACTGGTTGCGGCAGACACGGCTCTCAAAATTCATGTGTTTGACTTTGAATCTCGTGAAGAAGACTATTGTCTCTCACTTTCAAGCAAACCTACGTCAGTTACGATCAGTCAAGACTCGAGGCATCTGATAGTAAATCTCGCAGAGGGCGAGATTCAATTGATCGATCTCGAAACTACCGATGTAGTACAAAGGTTCAGTGGGCACAAGCAAGGCGAGTACATTATCCGCAGTATTTTTGGAGGAGCAGGGGAGAATTTTGTCGTAAGCGGCAGCGAAGGTAAGTCTTATAGTGCCCAAATGGTGGCTATTTTTTTGGCTAATTCGCCCGGCCAGACTCGAAGGTCTACATTTGGAACAAGGAGGATGGCCACCTTGTAGAAGCCCTGGAGGGACACACCCGTGGATGTGTGAATTCAATATCATGGAACCCAACGAATCCGAGGATGTTCGCCTCGGCAGGCGATGATCGTGTTGTGCGAGTGTACGATATACAACCCTCTTTCTCCCCCTTCTTCCTCTTCACACCAACATACTAACCCCACAACCAACAGCTGGACTCCCGAAAATGATCGCCCCGTCCCAACACGGGGCTCTACTCAACGGAGAGGAGTATCATCAAATGGATTTCCCCGGACAAGTGCGTTAAGAACGACGAGTGCTTTTTGAGACTGTTGAGCCAAACATTCCTCATTTTCATCTCCTATTTCTGCATCTGTCGGTATGGCGGGCATGGATATCGATTTTTGTTTCTGTATTGAAAGACCAACGATAAACTGTTCTGTTCATCACTTTTCCTTTCTCTATCTGCTTGGTTGCCTATTTCCCCTCTCACTTCAGCATATACACCTATACGTCCACCCCT